CATTCGTCGTGTAAAGCGTTTGACATGATACAGGAACTTTGTCGTGTAGCGCCTTCTATAGACCTACGTAGTGTCAAATATCAGACAGGAAAACAAGAACTTGTGTAGCGCCCTCTATAGACGTTCTCAGATTAAACGTAAATTAGTTGGAATCGATTAGCCCGCTATTTCCACCGATCCAAGCATGTGATTCAGGGCCTTTACATAACAGATATAACAAAACTCATAAAGCCATGATCTATTGCCGAGGAAAACTTAATATCGATGACATAACGTCAGATAACAAAAGTCTAGATAACAGTACAATACAATGACAGAGAAACTGTCAAAGGTTTCTCATAAAGCAATATTAACTTGAATCTACATCTCTTCAGATAAGACTATGATTGAGTACACCACATCAAATTGAGTAGTACTTTTAGAATAATTGATATTTAAAATCACTGTAACAAAATACACAGACGGTATATGAAAATAAGGCAATGTTGTGCTTCCTAACTTAATGCCGACCATGTTGTTAAGTAAGAGGCTGTGACACGTAAAATGTTGATACTTTGGTAGAGCTTCTGTAGAGGCAACTTCATTACACCATTTAGAACATGAAAACTAACGGAAATGAAAGTCCTAGTCAAATTCCCGTATTATGTAATTTGATAACTAATATCAATTAAAGTAATTTAGTAACTGAAGGTAGGTCTATATGATTCTGAGTTCATTACGAATAACGCGACGCTTTATAGACAAGGAAGAAAGGAAACAAATACATGAACCATTGAGGAAGCAATGGAGTTATTTTCAAAACAAGAGAAAAATATAAAAATGATTACGAACAATTAGCTAATTTATATTTAAAACACTGTTTGATCTGCCGATGTTTGCCCGCAGTGGAGAAGCTTCTTGTAGCTAAATTCGTTGTCACTTCACTGGGAAAGTAGTATCTCGATAAAGACAACTGCAGAGAGAAAAGTCCTACCAGTTACAGTATCCTTACACCATAATAATTAGTCCTTCATCGATATTCATTTGAACACAAACGTTTAGTAGAAGACCAAGAACAGATTCCGGAGTTTGAGGTTTATGTTGATCTTTGAAGGAGTAAAGATGACCCGATAGTAAACGTTTGAGTGACTTATGGCTAGCCGTGTTGTTATCTGTTAAAGGAGCAATAATGATGTTATATATACCCTAATCATATGTTTTATACAGTAGATAAGATGTCTTATAAAGAAAATGAGACATTTATTTTTTTATAACATTCCGTACATATGTACAAGACATATATTTTATAAGATAAAAGATATCTTATAAACTTTAAGTAAGAAATCAACGATACCGTATAAAGGAATATACTCCTCGAGGAAATGATAACTTGCCATAGTGGCTATACAGACATCATGATACATAACTGATAGATTGGTGTAGTTACGTTCAGCCACAGATACTCCATTGTCTAACGTAATGCGACCCAGAAACTTCACGAATCTGTCATTACGACGATATGGTTCTGTTTTCCTATTTCACCCCTAATTACACAAATACGCATTTATTCCAGCGATACATAGGAATACGGCTCTCGTCATTTTAGGAGAAACAGGGCTATATTTCAAATCGCTCAAATGACACCGTAATTGATGATAAACAGTGATGTTGTGTATTCACGCTCCATCTTGCGGGCTGGATATATCCATTTAAGTTAACATAAGTATCAATTCTATCCACTTAATGAAATAAAGGAAACACTTATTGTTTTACCAGTATATCTAAAATTAATTTGCCTACGCATAATGCTTTCAAAGAGATAAAATGTGCCTTTTATTCAATTTCTGAACTCTTGATAGACATTGAAAATTACTGAGAAAGTCTCGCGCGTTTAAGTAAATATTGTATCGCTACACCGTGGTCAGAGAACAGTTCCGAAGATAACCTTTTTTTAAAATATACACAATAGATAATTGTACTGAAAGTACCCTTAAGGGAGATAACTCTTATACAGTAAACAAATAGGAATATACATCACCACAATATAGGGTATTACAGCATATACCCCTAAAGTTAGGTATTTTTGTACTTGTCCGTGGTAAATAGAGAGTGAGAACAATCTCACTTTTATACCGGGAATGATTTGAATACAACATAACCTTTTTTATGTATAACATAGTATATGGCTAATGGTACAAAAATATCGGGTTTTTTTAATTTGTTTTTTTTCTTCTCAACACCAGCCGGTACGACTTATTGTATAAATGCCTTGATATGATCACAAATTTATTTATCCACAATTTGAAAACTACTTTTCTGAAGAAGTACCTTAATCAAATCATATACGATATCTAATTCAGATTTGGGATATCTGATACACGTATTTATGAAATATAGCAAATATCTTTGAAAGAACATCGAGTATGAGAATATCGACTTATCACAGTTAGATGCACTCTTTATTGGTATTTCGAATAGATATGACATGATAGATGCTCAGATCACCAGTCAGTGACCTTGACCCCGATTACATTTGCTCGAATATACCTTTGACTCCGTCTGACCTACCTTATTATGACCTTGTCGACAGGAGAAGCCATCTCGGATCCTCCTATATCCCCGGCCACAATATCTGATAAGGCAAGCGCCCCCACGTCCACGGGATTTCTTTGCCTCCCAGAGATAGTCGATCCGGCGAGTATCCTTACAATCTGATTGCTATGTGCCCTGGTGATTGCTCGGATGTGTCCGAAGTATAATTACTCAATTTCCGGGAGATAGTACACTAATTTGTCACAAGGTCAGTCGACTAGGCAGCCAGAACACCATCTATTAAAGTAGATCACACTTTCGTTAAGTTTATATCGCTAATGAGTGTTAGGAACACCATACTAATACCAATGAGACTAAATATTCGAACGTCCAGTAGTAACAGTGATTACTTTGTCCATCACCTGGTCCGAGTCATCAACATGTCGGATAGAGCTGTAATTGGCTTCCCTAGGAATCCGTACGACGCAACCCTTGTTAACATCATCCTGATAAATCCATCCCCCGGCCCACGAAATCGCATTAGGGCAGGGTAGTATTCGATTTGTCGTCATCAGTGGCATAAAATTGAAACCGATCTTATCAATTACACGTTTACTATTGGCCAAGTAACCATTGAATGATTTTAACGCGCTGGACAGTGTTCCTTCAACCAGCTTTTTAATCCCAGTAAGATAGGCAGTCAACAACACTTGTCAAACTACACAACGCTTTAGTGTAATGAAATTACGTGGCCAGGACGGATCCTGAACGTCTCTTCACTCCCGTATATCTGTATACTTCCTTACACGTAAACAAATGTAGCTGATGGAATTTGTTTAAATACAGATGTGATTAACAAAAAGGAAAACTGCCTAATAGTTGAAATAAAACCTCCTACTGTTTCTAACGCAAGATCAACCGGTCCGAGATTATCGCAAGATGATTTCGATTCCGTATTTTCTTGCTAAAGAATCTTGTTCGTCTAACGTCTAGATCAGCCTTAGCTAGCTATTATCCCAGCATCGTCAATGTCAGGATTCACTTTGTGTTTACAAGGACGCTGTCTCATCTTAACTATGCTGGCTTCATTTTGACCATTAAATATCATGTCCTGAGTCTTTCGTATCTTTACTGAACTTTACACTCAGGCATGCTTCTATCATTTTACTGATGATCTATTTTGCAGTACCTAAAGCTGAAGAATTCAAACCCAGTCAGTCTGTGTTGAAAATGAATACGAAATCAAAATATCAAATTGCTTTATTGAAGAAATGAAGACCGTGTACAGGGATACACTACAATTTCATGCCAACGTTTTAGCCACGAGACTAACAGTACTTCTCCTCTTTAGTGTCCACTCTTAACAGCATAACATTGTATGGTACTGGTCTGTGGTACGGGATGAATATCGCCAGTTGTGCCAAACAAAGCCTTTTGAATCCCGCCATATTTTCTTTACAAATTATTCATTGCGGAGTAGATGTCAATGATTTATCGTCGCATTGTTCATTCTTTACACATAATCCATTTTTATTGCCATTTCCGCGATTGGTCAGAAATGCATTCATCTCTGGCCCTGTGTTCACACGTGAACTTGACCGGACGTGATAGAGATGTCGAAAATCCCTATTGGTCTTTCTTATTATCATATCCCGGGGGATATTGAACCGGTACCTACACTTAACAAGATATAACATGTCACGCAGTCTATCATTTATCTATATAAATCCTGAAACAGTGGGTTGTGACCTTGATTACCATGTAGAAGTAGACCACACTGCGATACATGTATATTATGTTAAACCTAACAAACCAAAGAAAATTGACTATGATGGACAAATTGTCTTATTTAAGACGGTAAGACTGTAGGAAGAGAGACAACTCTATTTACCTAAACTTACATGACAACACCATATAAACTAATCACACAGTTTACGGATTAACAGTAATAATGATTTATCAAAATACATTATTTTGTAGGCATTATGTCAGCCGGTGAGGTGTGTCAATAAGGCAAGCAAATCTCTTCTATCGATGTACACACTTCTATAGGCAATGATTTGTCTACCTGTACGGGGAGTCTACAGGTGTAGCGCACGCCTTTTGTGTGACGTCATGGGTATTTAGGCACCTGTAGGGCAGAGAGGACTAAAATGGGTATTTAATTCTAAATAACTGTGGACTTTTCAGCTTTCCAAGGTCGCATTTAAACCTGAAGAAGCAAGTTGTTCAATTTTTTCTCTATATATGTTGACGTTTGCTATGTTGAGTTCCGAGGTCCTGTTTCTAGCTTTCAGAACACAAGGACATCTGCAATTATTATATTTAGTTTCGTTCCCCACTAAAACTTGTCAGGAATACTAACACTCAACGGATTTTAGACTTCAAAAATTTGTATACCTCATTTTTGAGAGATGATATGTGACGTCACCAAACATGTTTGAAGGAGACTGGAAGTGAGGCATTTATTAGAGAATAACTTGTTTACGATGGATACAAGAAACACGATGATTGGTGTGTGTGCAGTATGGACATTACTGTTCGGTAAGTTATCTGTCAATAACACCATAAATTTGCTTAACTCGATGTGTACGTAGATTTTGGTAGAATATGTACACGATAGATATATCATACCCCACGTCCTCTATTCCAAGCTTTTTAGATTATAAACATTTGTGTAAATAATTTGGTCGTTTAAAAGTGTACTGAAATGTTAAAATCATTTACTGCTTGTGTTAGCAATAAGTTTATTCATTATAATTTATTATGATTTTTTGTGATTCTTGTCTTCGTGTAGTCATTTGAATCCTTATGAAAGCAGGTTGGAGTTCACGTTTTCAAAAAAATCTGCTTACCAGTAAAGTAAGTGGGTGATAATCAGCTTCTATGGTGTCATTTCTCCTGTGTTGTAACTTGACGGTTTGGCTATTGAAAAGTTTGGCTTTTAATCATAATAATTACTTGATATCACTCGACAGATTTAAATACCTTACATAATAACCTACAAATACCTATCAAATCATTTGTAAGCATTCATTAGGGTTTTATGTATTGAAATGTCTACTAGACAAGAGTAGATATAGAAGTGTGGGAAAGACAGGTAATGTTGACTTTATAGGTTAACAAGCAACAATACAGGCAATAGGTGAAATGGTGTGTTATTTGTACATATATATATACCTATATCACAATGACAAGTTTATAGCTGATTAAAGTTTTAACAGAAATATGTCTAAATCAGACCCTAAAAATATACATGTACTCTATATATGATCTCAATATAGAAAGAATTTCATCATAAACTGTATCTAGACATATGAATTCAACTTGTCTGAACACAATCACAAATCAAAGTTAGTTAGCATGGTATATAGACAGCTTGGGCTGTCGCCTGCTACATGTACGTCTCTGCTGTACTTTATTTCATGACCTGCATCTATTTACGGATATTACTTTGTGAATTAGTATAACATTTTATCCTGCAACTGGCACTGTCATTGTCGGAATACACCTGTACCATATATATTTCTGCGACAGTGAATTTTAGCACGTGCGATTATTTTACAGAATTACTTTCTGAATTTACTGAAGTATAAGATTTGAAAATAAAAACAATTGTTAATTTAATGATTTTACTTGTTGAACAAATAAGTTTATATACAAAATAATAACAACAAATTTATAAAATCGCTGTTATACCTGTTGTCGCGTAGCAATAGTTTTGGCAAAGTTCAGCGTAATGACTAATCATAAATGAGCGGTTTGGCGTAATTTTTGAACAAGTTAATTTAGGAAAAGTAAGAGAAATTGTTATTGTATATTTTGAATTCGGGAACTATATTTCATCGCGGAGCACTCATTTCAGCGTACGTTATTTCTATGGCGTGAAACAATATAACACCAACGTCATCATATTATTGTATGATATTACGATTTTTGAACCTTTCACTGGCGGCACTGATCCGTATAATTTCTGCTTCTCCTCATTACTACTTTCTATCACTTTATCCAATCCTTGATCCACCGATTTAAACAGGAATATAATCACAATGGTATGCACATACAAGAATGTGATATACACGATATAAGTGTATTATAATTGATAAAGAAGAATTCAGAAGTTGTGAGAACTTATCTCTCATCCAATTGTCTGATTTTGACAAAGAAATATGCCTAGATATACTTAACAATTCGGTGATTATTCTGTATCACTTGTTTTCGGTACATATAGATGTGTGTTCCGCCGCCCGATCTGGAGGCTCCTCCAGTAGAACAGGGTCCGTTCTCACGGATTCTGAATCAGCGGGATTTGTTGGAGGTCCAGACACCAGCAGGTAACACAGTCAAGTTATTGAATAGATGTTCTTACATCACAACTAGTTAGAATGTTGTGACGGTAACACTTTCACCATCACCTAACAAATGATTAGTACAAACATAAGGGACGTTTCGATTGAAGTATGATCTTATATACATAAAATGTAGAGGTAGTGTGACGAGCTGGCGATGATATTATCGTATAAAATTGTCGAATATGTGATCTGTGTCATTTTTATCTGTTGATAGTGATAGAGTAGTATCGAAACGCCACTCATAAATAACTACTTGACTATAAGAAATGTTCATTATATATCAGAAGACAGTGTTGCGAGTAAGCAATTCTATTCAATATATACCAGAAGCTTAGTATTTATGTGGAAACATTGTCCGATTGTAGCTGTAATCATGGAAAGAGGTATGAAATAGCAAAGGAATGTGGTCGGAAATGGTGGAAACAGTCAGAAGGCGAGGTTGAGAGAGTAAAAGGGTGTATCAAGAGTAACTGGATCAAGTAAAACAAAGAAAGTCAAGGAAAAATTAAACGAGACACAAAGAGAAACAGAGATAGCACCAACACCGCTAGAAAGGTCTTACAGATTCAGTTGTGTTACCGCTTCTTAAAGCAAAACATATTTTCGCACTTAATATTACTATCGATATTTTTCTCTCTCAACACAGTCCTTCGTTCATAATCTTTATGATGATATTTGCGATGTGTGTCCTCGCCGTTGGCATCTTCCTCATCATCATGTGTTGTAAGATCAGACGATATTGCTGTTATAAACACTCTACCTTATCAGGATCCCACAATAAACAAAACAGTAAGTACCTTGTACGTGATTCGACTTCAGTAAAGTGCTACAATAAATTCGCTGTAATTGATTCAGCCACCGACTGAGCCATTTACTGAAAACGATATAATCTTGCACATTCGAAGGAACAATCATAGTTTGTACGTATTTGATATTTCTGCATGCTGAAGTCGGACTCGATGAATAGCAGAGCTCATTAGACTAACTCATACATTGACTTTTGCTGTAGTCGACTCTCAGAAAGGCTCGTCCAGCTGGAGTACAGAGCCTGATCCGTCTACGAAGAAACCAGATTTACCTCCGTCATCAAATGAAGACACAAAAATGGCATTTCCATGTACGTATTTAGTATTATTTAGTATTAAGTTAATCGAATCCATTTTGTTTGTTTGTTCGTTGTTGTAGTTGTTGTTTTTTGGAGGGTTTTACCCCTCTTATTACTATCTAAAAGGTACTTGTACATTTTTACTGATCGATATATTGCTTCATATCAATAAACATCTGTATTAAAAGTTAACATAGAAGACCAGCAGAGCTGTCCAGGATACAATGTTTTTTACTCCGTATTTAGTGTCTTTTTGTACATTCTATATGAATTTTCTTTATACTTTCAGCTATTCTTAAAAAAGAAAAAGAGAACAAACCACAGGAAAAATCCTTCCACTTCACAGAGTCTGTTGACCCACTGCCTCCAATACTTACTCTCCCATATCCTGCTTCTACAGGAAGTAATTATTTCAATCCATCACCGGAACCGGAACTGAGCGACAGCTATTCGGAATCAGACACAGAGTCGGCAATTGAAGTAGACTAGGCACTCTCTGGTCGTTCTCTGCCAGACCTAAGACTCCATTAAAAATTAGAATAACTTCAGTTTGATTAGAAATAACGGATATAGTCTTCTTTCTACAGGAATAAACCGCTTATTGTACAAACTGTGTGTATAATGATCACAGGTGTACATGACTAATGTTTCCTTTAATTTTGTGCAGAGTGCCTATGCTTCAAAATCAGTAAAATGCTTTCAAAAGGATGTAATTACACATCCCTTTTCTACATATTCATGTTTGTTTAGATCAATTTCTACCACTTTTTAAACTTTCCTTATGTAACTTTTAGTCCCTAACGTCGATGGAAGTTCCAGAAGGGTTGCACAAAAGACATAAGACGATAGAACTTTTCAATACAGATTACTGAATTAACTATATCATATAGCTGTGGCGTCTGTCTACAGAAAGTGATAGCGCTCTTCAAAACAGATAATACAGAATGAGATAGAACAGAGCCGAATAGTACATAATACTGTATCATACCGTCGTGGCGTCAGTTTAGTACTCGTCAGTAATACTATGTTGCTAATGTGTTAAAAAGTATCGATGACTGAGGAAACAAAAATCGGTTAAAAGAAATAATGGAGAGTCAGTGTAAAACTTCGGACAATTTAGCACAATTACAAGTGTGCAAAAATTAATTTTATTGATTTATTCACAAATCCGGCACATCAGAGATTTTCAACAATTCGAAACTCTGAACAAAAAAGTGCAAAACCTACAACACACTTGCTAATGATAATATCTATAACAGTTCTATCACTAGAAAAATAGGTTCTACCGGAAGCTTCGAACCCTTCATTGTTTAAATACACAATGCCAACGTTGTATTTTGGTATTAATGGGCTGTGTGCGATTAAATATATATCTTGGTGTAACAAAAGGACAATTAAAGCAAGGTACGAATGATCATCGTTAAGCAGTGATCCGTGGACAAAATCAATGTCAGAATAAATATTTTTTTCATTCTCCCCTAAACTGCCGATGATTGTCCATATTCTGGAAAAAAACCATATCCCCATATTGATAAACCCTTATCTAGCACATTGTACCGTTATATTAGACTCCTGGGCTCTGCTGTGCCATATGGTTGCAATGAGTACATGGACTCACGTTTGTTCTGGATGCAGTAGCACTAACATTACGAGTTTATTCGCTTCCCAAATTAGGTATAATTGTAGCCACGAACAGGGGCATTATAATAAATCTGGCGAATATACCATCACGTTTGAAAATCTTACGGATACTTTACACAAACCATTAGGTGTCCATCATATTCGAACTATGTTGTATTTGCTGTCTTTCTCAGTCTTATGACAACTTCAACAGAGTTTAGCTAGTACTGCTCCTATTGGTCTTTGGAATCGAACCTTGAGAATTCCTAAAATCATCGATGTTGTGGCACAAATAAGACTTTGTGAATCTGTGAGAATCTGTAGCCGCAATTCTCCACCAGCTCGGCAAAATATTCAAAGAAAAATTATATGGAAGTAGAAATTGTTAAAATCATCTAATTTCTAGTTGACAACATCTTTCTCGAGTTTGGCGGTGTAATCCTTTAACAGACTGTTAGTATACGTATGGTAACAAACTCTATGTCCCCTTCTTTATTTTTGTTATTGTTTTTCCCCAATACGAGTCTAAATATCATCAAAGAGCTTATAAAAATAGCCGCCTTATGAAGTCTTTCAAATTTATTTTCAAGTGTATCGATCATGTTTTGAATTTAATCAACATGACTTTTATTGACTTTGCCTAGTGTATGTATTCACCTTAAGTGGCAATCAAGGACACGACACAGACTATACTACTTCAGCGACTTGCCTAGGTGTTTTCCTACAATGCAGTGAAGAAGGACACCTTTATGATAAATGTGATGTTTTCAATCTCTCTATCGTTTACTTTCCATTTCTGAAGAGCAGCATTCCTTCATCCCCAACCTATGGTGTTTTCATGTCGCTGATGTTTCTATATCCAAGGGTTTATTCTCAATTTCAGGATTTACATGTAAGATGTCGGCAATGATAGACAAACTCTAAACACAGGGTTTTGAGAGATTAAGGTTCAAGAAAAAGATTGGGAAGGTTTTCGGTTATCATAATGATGTCACTGGAAAATATTTTATTTCCTTATGCGATAGGGAGTCGACGTGTTGGATGCTCGTTAGAATATCTGTATTCCAAGGCAGGAATACCTGATATTATTTTCCTTGCACTTCATTTTGTTAATATTTTGCCCTAGTTTAATTGAATTTGAATTTGGATTATGATTCTGTTGACATGTTTGTGTTTGCTTTGTTATTTTTATTCGTCACCTGACTTAAGAATTCCTGTATCACCAGTATCAATATTTAATTTTGCTGTAGGATGTTTCTGAATTTTTATTTTTTTTAAGTTGAGACTTTGGTATATCTTGCCGTTGTACATTGTCAGTGTGGTGGAAAGATAATACCTTCATGTTAATTAGATATAACAAACTTAATACAAGGCACGATATAATGTACAGAACTAATTACAGGACGACCGTTCAAAAATTCATGTACAAGGGGAACAGACAAGATGATGGGTGAGTGTCTTCTGTAAGGCTAGCAATATATGCAAAAGGCCAGTAAGTAATGTCAAGTGATAATAACAACTATGAAGCAGATGGTGCTTACTCTTCCTGAACACATGGTCTTATTCTCCCTATACTCAGTGTAAATCTTTCTTTTGTTCCTATTGTGCTTTAGTTTTATGGAATTATGATTATGTTGACAGGTCGGTATTTCCTTTTATCGGATATTGGTGATTTGGAGACTTAAAAAATGGAATAAAATTCGATATGTAGATAAGATAGGTTGAGAAAAGTTTATAATCCAGAAATAAAGAACTCACAAAAGGGATTTTCAATTATCACGCTTTTCATAAATCGGAAAGATTGAAATATATGTTGTATTTGTGTATTGCACAATAACGTAACCCAATATGTTTCTGTACAGCATATCGTTCTGTGATAGTTCCTTCATGTATATACCATAGTGTTTAAAACATTGTGTATTATAAATCAAAATAAATATATACAACAGTGTCAGCACTCTAGGACAAAATGTTACTTTACGTATTTACATTGATAAAAGCCATGTTTTGTAATGGTTTGTTTACTTATAGGATAATGGGTGAATAGTTGTCTTTTCGTCTTTTTGTATTGGCTGGTTATATATGTGTCATAGAAAAAGTTCAATAATAAGAACTAACGTGCGCATAGACTTATTGAAAGTGTTTGTCGAGCTCAAAGGTTGATAAAAAGGGAGAACACATCCGTCATATCTCTCCCCCGAACGAGCTGGTAAGGAAATAACAGAACATTGACATGGCAAGAGATATTTATACCTTGGTGCAAGCTATATTTTCTTTCAAAACATGCCTTTCAGACAGAAAATAACAAGGTCCTTATATTTGAAATAAGGCATTAGTGTTTAATGAAAACACTACTCTTATTAGCATATATCTAGTTTGTTTGTTTTTTAAGACTTTTGTGTCTATTAAAAATGAGTATCACAACTGACGATGGCAGCAATGGCGCATTAATCAAAGGGAATCTTGTGGAAATCAGAAAACCAGTGTAAGAGAATCCATGGTTGTGCCCAGATAATAAAGGGATATGTGAACTACTGTTTATCTAGTTTATCTTATTTGTCTATCTAACGAAGTGTTCATACTGTGTTTTTATACATATGATACAGGATTCAGCACTGTATACACTATGTGCATTTTGTAATTGGAATCCATGTTTGAAAATACAACGATAACAATTTAGATCTCCTGGACAAAACAATAGCGAAAATGAGATATATGTAAGCTCTATTTGAAAATTAAATTTTATGGAAATAATGCACTAATTTAACTAAGTATTCTAAATATAAGCACCCTTTTGTCATGAGGGGAATACCCAGGTAAGTATATACTTGACAATGATATACCTCATACCAGAGGCCCCACCAACAATGAGTTTATTATAATAGTAATCCAATATACAAGCTTTTTAAATCCTCTATTGAACACCACTAACTGTCGCCCGAACACAAGCGTGTACACACCGAGTACTTGTTGTGGTTTGTATACCTAGATACAACGACGGGTCATTCACGGGAGATCTGGTCGACGTAATTTCTCAATCATCAATTGTCGTGTTGCTGCTTGTACTAATAGTATGGAGAATTTTATTTAACTGAGTTCGGTAGCATCGAATCATCGTTGAAAATAAATTTTGTTGTATTTGAAAAATGATAAATGTTTTGAAACTCCACTGAGAAATCTGAAATACATAAGACCGGCTTCAGAATTCAATCTTATTCAACATGGAGGCAGATATTAACACCATGTGGTTACGAAACACAGGCTTAACGATTCTACTTGGAATTCTACAATTTGTAGGTAAGCTTAAGTTACATACGTATGTTCATATCTATGTATGCTTGTATATTTGTTCTTGTCGAATTATTCAATGTTTACTGATGTATGACCAGCCTGACCAGGTGTGTTAATACTGTGTAAAACGTGACGGTATACAAACTGGAAGATGTAATGTAGTGTGGTATATGAATATACGTTGTATCAATGCGTGACATGAATTACTCTATACATGCTTTAGTTCCAGCTAAATATGTAGGTTTTGGGTAGTGCCATGTGTGTTATAAAGTCCATTAGTAAGATACTTAATGTTTTAACTGCAATGTACTTAAACACGTTCACGCGTATTGGCAATATTTATGAGTTATTCTATATATGGTTCACAATAAAGGAGATGTTATGTTTAAATTGTCTAAATCACGAATAAGGAACCACAAAATAAAATAGCCTTCAAGAACTCTAAGTGGAATATATAACGATAGATCTGTTTCTTTTTGGTATTTCTCCTAAATACTCTATAATACTGTGATCATGATCTCCATAACCGTGCATGTGGTCTTTTGAACAAAAGTGTGTGCTCTCTTTGCAAAGTTAAAAAATAGTACCAATAAATAAAAGAAATGTCTTTATACAAAAGCCTGTTCTCGATATCAACTCAAAACACGTGGTTTCAAAAGCTGCAGAATTACAAAAAATGACGGGAAAGATTTTTACGGTCGTCATAGTGATCTCATTGAAAAAGACCTTCTTTCTTTTTGTGATATGAACCTGAATGTCTTTGATGCTTGTTACTTTGCTTGTTGGTTCCGTTGCTGTATATCTTGTTCTCATTTGAGAAAGCGACATACCTGTGTTGACCACGATTTTACTTTGCGTGTGTCCTCGAAGAAGCATGTTTACTGTTACGGAACACTTGATCTTATTCTCCTTGTACCTTTACAGGAGTGTACAGGATATTTTGTTCATTTTGTTTACAATTTTATTGAATTCAGTTTGGGTTATAATTATGTTTACATGTTATTGTTTTCCCATTGCTTTTGTCTATTAAAAACTACGCCCTAACACTCCTCTGGGTCATCGATTACAACACAGTTGTGTAATGCAGTTTTTTGCTCTAATCTGTTGGCTCTGTATCCATTATCTGATGGTCGTTATAGTAAGTCTTATTTTCAGAATAGGCTTATATCTGAGGTCGTCTTGTCTTATGAGTTTTAGGGTACATATGCCATGTCTTAATCCTTATGGTTGGTAGCACTGGTAGAGAATTCGGCATGGATTTGACCTTCCTTACAACTCGATTCATTCATGAGATCAGTTCAACTCCCGATCAACTAAACGGTATATTTATTTGAATTCCGCTCTTCTCCTCAGACCTGGAGAGTAGGGAACGGCAGTCTGTTCAGCAAAATTACTGTTGAACATATTACTCTCACTACTACTTATTTCGTTGAAAAGTATACACATCGGTATTGATTAAACCAGACTGCATCATATATCTCAACCACGCCGCTATATACAATCAGAACGTGGCATGCAGGTTACTGCATACTTCGCGGACTAAAAGATCACCAGCAATGTGTCTACCCTGTGGATCCTGAAGATTGTACAAAAGGTACAGAAGTGAATGGCACATTTCGATAAAAATTCAGAATTAAATACATTATCATCAATGAAATAAACTGCATCCTACAGCTGTTTTGTCCTTCTAGGACCTGTCAGTGATGCTAAGGGCCTATTTTGTTGAAACCTAGCAGGTGAATGAAAAAGAAGTTGACACACATTAAAACGATTGTGACCTATGTTTTGTTTTGAATGCATCATCCTATTGTTAACGAAGGGACTTTTGGGTTTGATTATTTATTTCTAGAATTATTACATAATTGGAATGCTGAAATATTTCCTTCTTCTTGTGAATTTGAATGATGATGAATTATATTTTTGTTGGAAATTGGAATATTGAAGTACTCCATTTTGTAATAAATTGAAATGCCATCCTACTTTCTTTTGTAGTAAATTGGAATGATGAACTTTTATGTTTATTAAAAACTCATTATCTTCATAGAAAACTGGAACGCTGTTCACCCCTTTTTGTAGGTAAATTAGAATGATGAAATACATTATTTTTATGGTAAATTGAGATGCTGAAATATTTCATTTTTGTAGTAACTTGGGACCCGATGTATTATTACAGTTGACCTTGATTACAGATCTTGGTGAAGCGCGGTACAGCTACCGGAGCTACCGGAGTTACAGAAGTTACCGGAGTTATACAAGATACTACAACTATTATTACCAAACATATTACTACTCGTCTGATGGCTCGGGGTCAGGCTCCAGCATGTAGGTATCAATGCCAACCAGTACAGATACAAATAATTAAAATAATATTACAGCCCAGCAAAGAAAAGGAGTAACAAATATTATAATAAATAAATATAAGGTTTAAGGTCGAACTCGAGCATGCTTTTGTTTCTTAACACATGAACTATAAGGCAAAGATTTTTGAATGAGCAAACCTTCAATGAGAAATTCCAGTTCACATTGCAGGCCGGCCGGGGTCCGCCTCCGGGAAATATGTACCTTTTCATAGATATTGTCTAAAATAACGGATTCTAGAATTACCTTACAATCTATTATTTATACTGATTAGTTTTTCATTATGTACACCTGTATTCCTTAATTACACATAGAGAGGTGCAATCAATACCTCCTGTGTTTTGGTGATTCTATTGCAGACAGGTGGTTCATTTGGGAATCTTTCCAACAACCGCAAATGTATAACACCTAATTGTACGATGATATTGCTATATTTCTAACAATGCTGAATGTATCTTCCTTTGTTCCCATTTGAAAACATGACCTTACTTACTTAGAATGACAAAAATTTACATGGTGAGTGTCGTCGATGAAAGACCTTATCTTATTCTCCTTGTACGTTTTCAGGAGTCTTCGTGTTAATCTTTCTATTGTTCATATTTTGCCCTATTTTTGTTGAATTTGAGTTTGGATTGTAATTATGCCGACATTTTGGCATTTTCGTTTTGTTTTCGATTGAACATGACAGACAACGACAAAACAATAAGGAGAAACGTTTTGTATATCTTCTGTGGTTGTTAATTACCTCGAAGCGGCGCATACCATGGTGCTTGATGCAACGTTAGACTGCTAGGTATAGATGATTACCATGTGACACCAACTACCCAATGGGATGAGTCGATATATACAGAGTTAAATTAAGAAGACGTTCTCACGTCCTTACAGCTTGTAGCAATCATAGATAATAATGGTGCATTTTATCATATATAATCATTGATATAATTTAATCCCCGAAGATTTATTAACAATTACGCCGTACACGGTACGGAAATTGCTAGTTCTTAGTCCATTCTACATTGTAATGTAGTTTATTTACATTCATTTCTATAACTTAAAAAATACAACCAACAGGTTATAAAAATGATTGGCTTTCTATCAAGCTCTTTGATAAAATAAATCAATCGTCCCATTCATTAAACAATATTTTTCGAGATAGATGTTGTTCACCCATTACATCGCAAATTCCATGATTGCCGTTTACGTTATATTGATTATCTTTTCTTAAACAATTTTCCATCATATCTATACTCGGCCACGTTTTTCCCTATTTCCATACTAACAGACTCACAACGATAAGGTTCTCCCAATAGCAGCCATTCTCACGTTCCGGTGGTTGAAATCATTACGTAATATTTGACATGCATCGTCTCCGATTCCTATTGTTTTCTTTGTTAAGACGTTGCCAATACCATCCCTGTATGGTGAGTGAATGCGTTTTATTTATTTATTTATTTTGTCTCTGGTATATTATTTTTGTTTTGTTTATCTCCTTGTAGGACTGCCGCCATTGTGGGTGGAGTAATAGGAGGTCTTATTTTGATTGCATTAATCGTCTTCGTCGTCTACCTTCGATGTAGATATGTGTCCTCTAATCGTCGAACCTCACCTGCGGTCATTGCCACTGAGCAGCCAGTGGTAATTAAGAAACGAGGTAAAGTAGACTGATATTTCGGAACATTTTCTTCGGGCTGGTAATATCAATAGAATAGAAGCTCTTATAACACAGCCAGTAGAAGATTTAAGTGTGACATTTCAATGACTACACGGTCACCTTCATCAGACAAATGACCAGTGTGGAGCGTACTAGTACTGACGAACGTAATGTACGAGGTGGTAAGGAACCGACCATTTTTTTTACGTCAGTAACAATGCACTGTAATCAATTCGGCTACGCTGGTCATTTGTCTGATAAAGGTGACCATGTAGTCACACTTAAATCTTCAACTGGTTATGTTATAAGAACTATTCTGTTAGCTGATATATCTTGGGTAGTTTTGTTTACTGGACACAATATATCACCCTGTGTACGACCACATATCATATCATTATGGCTGTTGTTTCATGGTATATTGGATGAAACCGTTCCTTATCTAGTGAAAAGGGTAGCAGATTCCACTTACGAGACATACACGGGAGTGCGAATGGATCACAATTATCGCTTGAAAAAAAAATTTCCTGAAATATTCCTTAGCCTGATATTGTACCCACAACAACATAATTAGTATTTTCCTCTTGTCCTGTTGGCCAATACACGATAATAATACATTGTAATGCATTGCAGACTTAACCCCGAGCATCTGTTATTACTTACGGTTCTCCTACACGTTGGACAGTAAGAACTCACCTTGAAGACATGAGTTTTAGACATGAGTATATATTCATACACACACGGGAATGATAGAACAATGTCATTATGACGAGCATGTGGGTAATAACCACCTGTACCATACATCATACATGGACAGATTTTTAAAATGTCAATTTTAGATAATATTGACATATAGACATATTATTGTAAAAAAAAGCATCCCTTCATATATACATCAAGGCATGTGAACGGATACTCATAAATTGATGTGAACCGCACCAAATTTGATATAAGATTTGAAAGTCAGTTACCTATCTTTGTTGTCAAATTGGTTTCAGAGAGGATTAATAGGACGATAGATTCAATGAAAGATAAGACACCGCTGAAATAACTAGGATATTCAATCTAAAGAGGAACTCTCTCTGTTGTTTTTTATTATGTTACGATGACCTTATGGAGTTGTTCACTGTTCAATATGATATCTGTCCATGTTTCAGAGCCAAAAACCAAACCAGATAAAGTCATAGTTCCACGACAGAAAAAAAATCCACTTCCTCCTTCCCCACCGCAAGGACCATCAAGTGGGTTACCGCCAAGCGCCCCTCCTGCCTACGATTCTGTTTATCCTCCACCAGCAGGTGGAAGCAGTTCTTACCCTCCTCCACAACAACACGGAGAAATGCAGTCTACTCCTCAGCCAGTGCCAGACGCGTTTGTATATAAACCACCGTATTAGATACGTAACACTAGCGTAATATACGATGCATGGAAAGTCAATAAGACAATATATGTATTAAATGGTGATGTTTTAATAAATCCAACGTGTTTAGCTATTAAAAACAAAAACAAAAAATAGCAAGCCACCTTAAAGTATCATTGTGTAAGTTTCGCTACTTTGTGGAGAAAAGTTTATTAAGACAATGCTTTTTCCAGATTTTCATAGGTGCTTTGGTATTTTATTGTCTCTATCGCTTTAGACTAAAGATATTTTGTTATTGTTACCTTAATACCCAGTATTGCTTTTTAACCACATCTATAGCTACTATGAACTTATCCGTGTGTTCGAATATTACACAGTATGATCCTTGCACTTTTTTGTTTTTGCTTTATTTGTTTGTTTTTGTTTTTTTCTTGAAAAAATATCACTTTTTAAAATAAAACTTACAGTTTTTAGTGAAGTGCTCCATATACAGACTGCACCAGTCTCTGGCTAAGTTTACATACATTGATAAGAATACTATCAATAATATATTTAATTTAGCGTTTATCAACACAAGATATAAAATTCATGGTAAGACACTGTTCTCTTACTTTCAAATCATTCACTACATTTTTAACGAAAATCATACGGGAAACGGGAACGAAAAAAATGCAATTAAAATGACAGTATTATCCCTATTTGTTTTACACAAGTAAACAACATCATTCAGTATCTATTTATCTGTAATCATATGTCTTTCACTTATAAGAGATTCCACATATAAACGTGTCCTACTTTATCTGCTGTCTGAGCTAATCATGTACTAGAGAATCTAGCCATTCGTTTAGAGAACATTGTAGATCACTAATATCGTCATATGTTGTTCATATCTATGTGACTGTTTGATACTCTTCAGCTTCTTTTGCAAATATTTTTATATACAATTTCTACAGCACAACTCCGCTGTATCATGACGTTTTGTGTTACATGTGTATGTATGTGAATGAAAACATAGCCGGAATGTGTTTCAGTATTGTTATATCAATTCATTACGTCAACGTTATGTTGATTCTATAGAAATAAATACTTTTAACATCGTCTTCATTATTTATGATTAAGTGAATATGCTAACAGCGAAATCGATATTTGTTTTAAATATATCATAATAAACAGTTGTAAGCATTAATAAACGTTACAAAGACGATCGTTTTGCGTGTTTGTAGTTTCTTTCCGAATGATACCAGAACTATACAACACTCAGTGTTGTTTGATTTGATAGATATTTGCGGAGCGTTTGGTCCGCATTAACACTAAAGGGATTCTGTATATGTGGAAAACAATTTTACTTAGCGAGAACAAAACGCAAAAATTTTATACGAAAGACAAGTATTTAAATAGTATCTGTAGATATGAATTTAACAAGAGATAAAATATATGCCAATTATTGAGTTTAACTTTGTGAGACCACTGTATCGTCTTTCTATAATATGAGTCGTCAGTTATGTTAGAGGCAATCAACCTGATCAGTGTGGAAGTCAAGACGCAGTGTTGGAAAATATAAGTCGTTTTAATGAATGATGAAATAGACACCGCAGACACCGCGGATAATGAATATATACATCTAGAAGCGGGGACTTTGAAACTAAAAGTTAACTGCACATTTTAACTCGGCAAAGCGTTTATGCCCAATATATAAGCTTATCGCGATCCTGTGAAATCGGTTCAAATTTCAAGTGTGACAGGGACTCCTTCTCTATCTTACTTCAGTACATGTCACTGTCTCCTTCTCTATCTTACTTCAGTACATGTCACTGTCTCCTTCTCTATCGTACTTCAGTACATGTCACTGTCTCCTTCTCTATCTTACTTCAGTACATATCACTGTCTCCTTCTCTATCTTACTTCAGTACATGTCACTGTCTCCTTCTCTATCTTACTTCAGTACATGTCACTGTCTCCTTCTCTATCTTACTTCAGTACATGTCACTGTCTCCTTCTCTATCTTACTTCAGTACATGTCACTGTCTCCTTCTCTATCTTACTTCAGTACATGTCACTGTCTCCTTCTCTATCTTACTTCAGTACATGTCACTGTCTCCTTCTCTATCTTACTTCAGTACATGTCACTGTCTCCTTCTCTATCTTACTTCAGTACATGTCACTGTCTCCTCTATCTTACTTCAGTACATGTCACTGTCTCCTCTATCTTACTTCAGTACATGTCACTGTCTCCTTCTCTATCTTACTTCAGTACATGTCACTGTCTCCTTCTCTATCTTACTTCAGTACATGTCACTGTCTCCTTCTCTATCTTACTTCAGTACATGTCACTGTCTCCTTCTCTGTCTTACTTCAGTACATGTCACTGTCTCCTTCTCTATCTTACTTCAGTACATGTCACTGTCTCCTTCTCTATCTTACTTCAGTACATGTCACTGTCTCCTTCTCTATCTTACTTCAGTACATGTCACTGTCTCCTTCTCTATCTTACTTCAGTACTTGTCACTGTCTCCTTCTCTATCTTACTTCAGTACATGTCACTGTCTCCTTCTCTATCTTACTTCAGTACATGTCACTGTCTCCTTCTCTATCTTACTTCTCCTTCTCTATCTTACTTCAGTACATGTCACTGTCTCCTTCTCTATCTTACTTCAGTATATGTCACTGTCTCCTTCTCTATCTTACTTCAGTACATGTCACTGTCTCCTTCTCTATCGTACTTCAGTACATGTCACTGTCTCCTTCTCTGTCTTACTTCAGTACATGTCACTGTCTCCTTCTCTATCTTACTTCAGTACATGTCACTGTCTCCTTCTCCTTCTCTATCTTACTTCAGTATCTTACTTCAGTACATGTCACTGTCTCCTTCTCTATCTTACTTCAGTACATGTCACTGTCTCCTTCTCTATCTTACTTCAGTACATGTCACTGTCTCCTTCTCTATCTTACTTCAGTAAATGTCACTGTCTCCTTCTCTATCTTACTTCAGTACATGTCACTGTCTCCTTCTCTATCTTACTTCAGTACATGTCACTGTCTCCTTCTCTATCTTACTTCAGTACATGTCACTGTCTCCTTCTCTATCTTACTTCAGTACATGTCACTGTCTCCTTCTCTATCTTACTTCAGTACATGTCACTGTCTCCTTCTCTATCTTACTTCAGTACAAGTCACTGTCTCCTTCTCTATCTTACTTCAGTACATGTCACTGTCTCCTTCTCTATCTTACTTCAGTACATGTCACTGTCTCCTTCTCTATCTTACTTCAGTACATGTCACTGTCTCCTTCTCTATCTTACTTCAGTACATGTCACTGTCTCCTTCTCTATCTTACTTCAGTACATGTCACTGTCTCCTTCTCTATCTTACTTCAGTACATGTCACTGTCTCCTTCTCTATCTTACTTCAGTACATGTCACTGTCTCCTTCTCTATCTTACTTCAGTACATGTCACTGTCTCCTTCTCTATCTTACTTCAGTACATGTCACTGTCTCCTTCTCTATCTTACTTCAGTAAATGTCACTGTCTCCTTCTCTATCTTACTTCAGTACATGTCACTGTCTCCTTCTCTATCTTACTTCAGTACATGTCACTGTCTCCTTCTCTATCTTCCTTCAGTACATGTCACTGTCTCCTTCTCTATCGTACTTCAGTACATGTCACTGTCTCCTTCTCTATCTTACTTCAGTACATGTCACTGTCTCCTTCTCTATCTTACTTCAGTACATGTCACTGTCTCCTTCTCTATCTTACTTCAGTACATGTCACTGTCTCCTTCTCTATCGTACTTCAGTACATGTCACTGTCTCCTTCTCTATCTTACTTCAGTACATGTCACTGTCTCCTTCTCTATCTTACTTCAGTACATGTCACTGTCTCCTTCTCTATCTTACTTCAGTACATGTCACTGTCTCCTTCTCTATCTTACTTCAGTACATGTCACTGTCTCCTTCTCTATCTTACTTCAGTACATGTCACTGTCTCCTTCTCTATCTTACTTCAGTACACGTCACTGTCTCCTTCTCTATCTTACTTCATTACACGTCGCTGTCTCCTTCTCTGTCTTACTTCAGTACATGTCACTGTCTCCTTCTCTATCTTACTTCAGTACATGTCACTGTCTCCTTCTCTATCTTACTTCAGTACATGTCACTGTCTCCTTCTCTATCGTACTTCAGTACATGTCACTGTCTCCTTCTCTATCTTACTTCAGTAAATGACACTTGTCTCCTTCTCTATCTTACTTCAGTACATGTCACTGTCTCCTTCTCTATCTTACTACAGTACATGTCACTGTCTCCTTCTCTATCTTACTTCAGTACATGTCACTGTCTCCTTCTCTATCTTACTTCAGTACATGTCACTGTCTCCTTCTCTATCTTACTTCAGTACACGTCACTGTCTCCTTCTCTATCTTACTTCAGTACATGTCACTGTCTCCTTCTCTATCTTACTTCAGTACATGTCACTGTCTCCTTCTCTATCTTACTTCAGTACATGTCACTGTCTCCTTCTCTATCTTACTTCAGTACATGTCACTGTCTCCTTCTCTATCTTACTTCAGTAAAAGACACTTGTCTCCTTCTCTATCTTACTTCAGTACATGTCACTGTCTCCTTCTCTATCTTACTTCAGTACATGTCACTGTCTCCTTCTCTATCTTACTTCAGTACATGTCACTGTCTCCTTCTCTATCGTACTTCAGTACATGTCACTGTCTCCTTCTCTATCTTACTTCAGTACATGTCACTGTCTCCTTCTCTATCTTACTTCAGTACATGTCACTGTCTCCTTCTCTATCTTACTTCAGTACATGTCACTCTACTTACTTCAGTTACTGTCTCCTTCTCTATCTTACTTCAGTACATGTCACTGTCTCCTTCTCTATCTTACTTCAGTACATGTCACTGTCTCCTTCTCTATCTTACTTCAGTACATGTCACTGTCTCCTTCTCTATCTTACTTCAGTACATGTCACTGTCTCCTTCTCTATCTTACTTCAGTACATGTCACTGTCTCCTTCTCTATCTTACTTCAGTATATGTCACTGTCTCCTTCTCTATCTTACTTCAGTACATGTCACTGTCTCCTTCTCTATCTTACTTCAGTACATGTCACTGTCTCCTTCTCTATCTTACTTCAGTACATGTCACTGTCTCCTTCTCTATCTTACTTCAGTACATGTCACTGTCTCCTTCTCTATCTTACTTCAGTACATGTCACTGTCTCCTTGTCTATCTTACTTCAGTACATGTCACTGTCTCCTTCTCTATCTTACTTCAGTACATGTCACTGTCTCCTTGTCTATCTTACTTCAGTACATGTCACTGTCTCCTTCTCTATCTTACTTCAGTACATGTCACTGTCTCCTTCTCTCTATCTTACTTCAGTACATGTCACTGTCTCCTCTATCTTACTTCAGTACATGTCACTGTCTCCTTCTCTATCTTACTTCAGTACATGTCACTGTCTCCTTCTCTATCTTACTTCAGTACATGTCACTGTCTCCTTCTCTATCTTACTTCAGTACATGTCACTGTCTCCTCTATCTTACTTCAGTACATGTCACTGTCTCCTTCTCTATCTTACTTCAGTAAATGACACTTGTCTCCTTCTCTATCTTACTTCAGTACATGTCACTGTCTCCTTCTCTATCTTACTTCAGTACATGTCACTGTCTCCTTCTCTATCTTACTTCAGTACATGTCACTGTCTCCTTCTCTATCGTACTTCAGTACATGTCACTGTCTCCTTCTCTATCTTACTTCAGTATATGTCACTGTCTCCTTCTCTATCTTACTTCAGTACATGTCACTGTCTCCTTCTCTATCTTACTTCATTACATGTCACTGTCTCCTTCTCTTTCTTACTTCAGTACATGTCACTGTCTCCTTCTCTATCTTCAGTACTTGTCTCCTTCTCTATCTTACTTCAGTACATGTCACTGTCTCCTTCTCTATCTTACTTCAGTACATGTCACTGTCTCCTTCTCTATCTTACTTCAGTACATGTCACTGTCTCCTTCTCTATCTTACTTCAGTACATGTCACTGTCTCCTTCTCTATCTTACTTCAGTACATGTCACTGTCTCCTTCTCTATCTTACTTCAGTACATATCACTGTCTCCTTCTCTATCTTACTTCAGTACATGTCACTGTCTCCTTCTCTATCTTACTTCAGTACATGTCACTGTCTCCTTCTCTATCTTACTTCAGTACATGTCACTGTCTCCTTCTCTATCTTACTTCAGTACATGTCACTGTCTCCTTCTCTATCTTACTTCAGTACATGTCACTGTCTCCTTCTCTATCTTACTTCAGTATCTTACTTCATAGTCACACTGTCTCCTTCTCTATCTTACTTCAGTACATGTCACTGTCTCCTTCTCTATCTTACTTCAGTACATGTCACTGTCTCCTTCTCTATCTTACTTCAGTACATGTCACTGTCTCCTTCTCTATCTTACTTCAGTACATGTCACTGTCTCCTTCTCTATCTTACTTCAGTAGATGTCACTGTCTCCTTCTCTATCTTACTTCAGTACATGTCACTGTCTCCTTCTCTATCTTACTTCAGTACATGTCACTGTCTCCTTCTCTATCTTACTTCAGTACATGTCACTGTCTCCTTCTCTATCTTACTTCAGTACATGTCACTGTCTCCTTCTCTATCTTACTTCAGTACATGTCACTGTCTCCTTCTCTATCTTACTTCAGTACATGTCACTGTCTCCTTCTCTATCTTACTTCAGTACATGTCACTGTCTCCTTCTCTATCTTACTTCAGTACATGTCACTGTCTCCTTCTCTATCTTACTTCAGTACATGTCACTGTCTCCTTCTCTATCTTACTTCAGTACATGTCACTGTCTCCTTCTCTATCTTACTTCAGTACATGTCACTGTCTCCTTCTCTATCTTACTTCAGTACATGTCACTGTCTCCTTCTCTATCTTACTTCAGTACATGTCACTGTCGCCTTCTCTATCTTACTTCAGTACATGTCACTGTCTCCTTCTCTATCTTACTTCAGTATATGTCACTGTCTCCTTCTCTATCGTCACTGTCTCCTTCTCTATCGTACAGTACATGTCACTGTCTCCTTCTCTGTCTTACTTCAGTACATGTCACTGTCTCCTTCTCTATCTTACTTCAGTACATGTCACTGTCTCCTTCTCTATCTTACTTCAGTACATGTCACTGTCTCCTTCTCTATCTTACTTCAGTACATGTCACTGTCTCCTTCTCTATCTTACTTCAGTACATGTCACTGTCTCCTTCTCTATCTTACTTCAGTACATGTCACTGTCTCCTTCTCTATCTTACTTCAGTACATGTCACTGTCTCCTTCTCTATCTTACTTCAGTACATGTCACTGTCTCCTTCTCTATCTTACTTCAGTACATGTCACTGTCTCCTTCTCTATCTTACTTCAGTACATGTCACTGTCTCCTTCTCTATCTTACTTCAGTACATGTCACTGTCTCCTTCTCTACTGTACTGTCACTGTCTCCTTCTCTATCGTACTTCAGTATATGTCACTGTCTCCTCTATCTTACTTCAGTATATATCACTGTCTCCTTCTCTATCTTACTTCAGTACATGTCACTGTCTCCTTCTCTATCTTACTTCAGTACATGTCACTGTCTCCTTCTCTATCTTACTTCAGTACATGTCACTGTCTCCTTCTCTATCTTACTTCAGTACATGTCACTGTCTCCTTCTCTATCGTACTTCAGTACATGTCACTGTCTCCTTCTCTATCTTACTTCAGTACATGTCACTGTCTCCTTCTCTATCTTACTTCAGTACATGTCACTGTCTCCTTCTCTATCTTACTTCAGTACATGTCACTGTCTCCTTCTCTATCGTACTTCAGTACATGTCACTGTCTCCTTCTCTATCTTACTTCAGTACACGTCACTGTCTCCTTCTCTATCTTACTTCATTACACGTCGCTGTCTCCTTCTCTGTCTTACTTCAGTACATGTCACTGTCTCCTTCTCTATCTTACTTCAGTACATGTCACTGTCTCCTTCTCTATCTTACTTCAGTACATGTCACTGTCTCCTTCTCTATCTTACTTCAGTACATGTCACTGTCTCCTTCTCTATCTTACTTCAGTACATGTCACTGTCTCCTTCTCTATCTTACTTCAGTACATGTCACTGTCTCCTTCTCTATCTTACTTCAGTACATGTCACTGTCTCCTTCTCTAACTTACTTCAGTACATTTCACTGTCTCCTTCTCTATCTTACTTCAGTATATTTCACTGTCTCCTTCTTATCTTACTTCAGTATATATATTTCTCCTTCTCTAATCTTACTTCAGTACATGTCTACTGTATTTTTCTCTATCTTACTTCAGTACATGTCACTGTCTCCTTCTCTATCTTACTTCAGTACATGTCACTGTCTCCTTCTCTATCGTACTTCAGTATATTTCACGGTCTTCTTCTTTGTCTTACTTTTTATATATATTTTGCAGGTTTGAAATCGTGACACTTAACACGTTTCAATTCTATTGTATTTTTGTCCTAAGTTACATCAGGACTTGGGCTCTATAATTATTACTGTGGTCGTAATGTGATTGACTTTGTAAGGATTTTTTCTGTGTATTGAACCAATGTTCAATGAATAGATAATCATTCGCAGAAATGATATATCGGTCCCTCCTGAGCAAATACATTATGCCTATTTGAAGTGTAACTTTACTGAAATTTTTTTTTTGTAAGTAGAACAAAACCTGTGTCTGAATGATCATTTTATCGAAAACTGCTCGGAAATCGGTCATGCGGTTACGATGTTATGGTGGGTTTAAATAGAGCTTTTTACCTGTGCCATGTAACAAGCTGAGAGAACTCGGAATACCAAATCATGAAAACTCCAGATAGCACCCGAATGTATATATCTTTATATTATTTTTACCTCCGCAACAGGAGAGTTCCGCGTGTCTGTGGAATATTGCACAACGGATATTGAAAGTAGCTCCTCATTAATCGACAAACATCGCGGAAATGTGATTTTTCTCAGAGATAACTCTCAATTATTTCTTTAGATAAGTAATCCAACAAACTTCTCCATGATGTATGGACAGGATGAAGGTAACAGAAACCCACAAATAATAATAAAATAAAATCTTTGTTTACGTTTTGTACATTCAAATATGGCGCTTCTGCCGTTTCCTGAACAAAACACAATTGTCATGAAATTACATACTTATTGTGACCATTAGTGTAATAAGAAAGCAACTGTAATTATTTTATTGATTTAAGAAGATCACTAACCAGTTGTCAAACGCAGAACTTTAATGGAAGGAAGATTGACAACAACAAAAATTCCCGGTACTGAAGTCTGGTTAGTTAACAGTCAGAGCTGGGCTTTTAGATGTCTGGCTTACGAGTCATACTACTTAAATAGCAGTCATATTATAAAGACATGAGGTGATTCTTGTTTGTCTGTGTAGGATAAAGCTATATTTTCGAGTGTAGAACACCTATTCTTGTAATCGTAAGCAGGAGCCTTTTCCAATACACGTCGTAGAAAGAACGTTATATTTCACAATCTATTGCCATATGTGTAAAGAGTAGAACCTACTGTGTTCTGTAAATGTTTTATGTTCCATGCACCAACAACCATAGATCAGTCAGATCATGTCTCCTGATTGTAGCATAGAGTAAAATCTTTGATGCTGATGGGCCATTTATGTCAGTAAAACTGAGGGGCTTTTGAGAACATCCCATTGTCCTTTCAGTGATTTGTGTTGCTGCACATACTACTTGCAAGAGGGTGATGCAGTATTACTAGATACAAACTTGTAATGATGTCTGTACAATATATAATATCAATAGACATCTTGGTCTATGTTGTATTTAAAAACATTTTGAAATATCTATGTTTAAAAAAATTCCATTGCACTGGTTTGAAAAGAGCATTTCCTGCATAGTGATCTTGATAAATATTTGACATGCCAGTCATGGCTATATGATGAATTTTCTCAATTCCTTTTACCATTACAGAGATGGAGGATGAGAGTGATGATATCACACCTGATCTCTGGCAGGAGGCCTGTTGGATCGTCATCAGCTCCTATTTTGATGAGAAGGGATTAGTTAGACAACAATTGGATTCCTTTGATGAATTCATCCAGATGTCAGTACAGCGTATTGTGGAAGACTCCCCGCAGATCGACCTACAAGCTGAGGCACAGCACACATCCGGAACCATTGAAACTCCTGTAAGGCATAAAAATGGAGTCATTCACCTCGAACTATTATCCAGAAAGTGATCACATTAGGAAAATTCCCTTAATATTTCATCAAATTAGTCTTTGCTTTTTAAGGAAACATATTTTCAAAGCTCATAAGCAGTTTTTCAATCACTGTTTATGTTAACAAAACATCTTCTCAATTGATGTCTAAAGTCTAACTCATGTTTATAGAACCTTTGATAACTTACCTGTAACTATGACTCTTAATAGGATGAGACCTCAAGTCAAAAAGTTGTCTTTCATTTAAATCATACTTTCTTTTCTTTTCAGCCAAGATATCTCTTAAAATTTGAACAGATCTATTTGTCAAAGCCAACACATTGGGAAAAAGATGGTGCACCAAGTCCTATGATGCCAAATGAAGCAAGACTTCGAAATTTAACGTATGTTATTAAAACCATGCATTAATTTAGAAATTTTTACAATTAACACATATATGATTATTCTGATTATACATAAAATCTTGATATATGAAAATATTGATATAATGTGAACAATTATCGTTGTTGAATCTGATATTGTTTTAAACTACTGAACTGTAGTTCATAGAGCAATCATTGTTCAGTGCGACATTTTTAGCATAAAAGCACTAAAATAAGATGTACGTTTACAGTATTAGGTTATCTACTTTTATGGTTTCTGAATCTTTGAATATTAGAAGTATTTGATGCACAATGCCTGATATCCAGATTATGTTGTCTTACTGTGATAACAAATAAACTTTAATGATAAATGAAAAATGGATATTGTAGAGCTTAGATGAAATTTTTTTTTTTAACAGGTATTCTGCCCCATTGTATGTGGATATTACCAAAACAGTTGTAAAGGAAGGAGAGGATCCTATTGAAACCACTCACCAAAAGACATTTATTGGGAAAATACCCATTATGTTACGATCAACATATTGTTTACTTAGCGGACTAACAGATCGTGATTTAACTGAGTTAAATGAATGTCCACTTGATCCTGGAGGATATTTCATCATCAACGGGTCAGAAAAAGTGCTCATTGCTCAAGAGAAAATGGCAACTAACACAGGTAATAAAAAAAAAGCCAGAATCAGCCAGATATTACAACACTTCATTAGTTCCAGTCTGTAATATTGATGATTTATAAGGATATTCAATTTCTATTGCCTACATAATTCTGTTTGCTGACCTGGAACTGAATCATCAGAATTGTTAGATCTTGTTTTTGAGTAATTAGAATTAAAAATTAATCTGACATGTTCATCATACATGTTTGGATTTCTCTAAAATTGTAATAAATGTGTATTGTGAAATTTTTGCCATAGTTCTACTCTTGTCTGTTTTGGAACAAAGACACTATTTGGCGGAATTCAGCCTCTTTCTGTGTTTGTGTATGAGCCAGTTTTTCATTCTGAATCATTTTCATTTTCTTGTGGTTTGCAGTGTATGTATTTCAACAGAAAGATTCCAAATACGCCTTCAAGACAGAGATAAGATCATGTTTGGAACATTCTTCCAGACCCACTAGTACACTGTGGGTGAACATGATGGCAAAAGGAGGAGGGGTAGGTCTAGTTAATGTCAGATTTCAGTCATTTCATTTGGACATCCATGGTATTTTGAAAACCTGTCATTATCAAAGGACAGTAATCCACATGGGACTGACATTCCAGATGGTTTGCTTTGTGTGAATCGGGAAAGCTTCACTCTGAAGTCAGTGTTAGAAGTGATTGAGCTATACATATTTTCTTGTTAATGAAAAAAACTCAATTTAAGTCATGAATTTTGATATCTGAATTATATCTCTCAAATATTGTGGCACTTTTCACCAAAGATTATACAGGTGCCATTACTTTGCCAATTCATATGTATTAAGAAGTTGTACTTTGATTTACAATAAATTCTAGATTTTGTGTTGCAGGGAGCCAAGAAGAGTGCCATAGGACAGAGAATCATTGGTATTCTGCCATATATCAAACAGGAGATTCCAATCATTATTGTATTCCGAGCCCTTGGCTTTGTGTCGGACAGAGACATCTTGGAACATATCATCTATGACTTTGATGACCCTGAGATGATGGAAATGGTTTGTTGATTGTATTTTGTGAGGCATCAAATTTTATTGGATATTTTTTTGGCAAAGTAAGGTTGGAATTAAGGTGTAGTAAGCCTGATATCATTGCACATAGCTTGGTCAAAAGAAACTAGTGTAAAGGTTTCATTCATTTGATATGTTCGATGCAAGATTTATACTTTTGGTGTTCTGAAACTAAACTAGGATTTATTCAAATGGCATTTAAACAAGTTTGTAAGCCTGAAATCTTAATGCTTTGGTATTTTGAACCCATCACATGATGAACCTGTTTGTACCTTTACATATGACTTCCTTAGTAGGACCTTGATGTGTCGTTGTGTCTTAGAAAGAGCCTCTGTGTTTTCCTTTATAGGTGAAGCCCTCCCTTGATGAGGCATTTGTGATACAAGAGAGAAATGTTGCACTCAACTTTATAGGTTCTCGTGGTGCTCGGCCTGGTGTGACAAAGGAGAAGAGAATCAAATATGCTCGTGAAATTCTGCAGAAAGAAATGTTGCCGCATGTTGGTGTCAGTGACTTCTGTGAGACCAAGAAAGCTTACTTCTTAGGGTAATCATTCTTTGTAAATATATATTTTTATTAAAGTAAAGCCAGAATGATGACTCTGTGATTCTGAATTTTAGGAAAGTATAGCAAAAGACAATTACTGCTGAAATTGTTTTGAAAAAAAAATGGATGCGCATGCATTGTAGTTTCCAATTCTGTGCCAAGGAGCAGAAAAGAAGAAATGTATCTACATACAGAAGTTGCTTATATCATTGTATTTTGATCATGCCTTTTTAAATAGAAATCTTCAGATTTACTTTCAATGTTTATTTTTTTATTTGTTCGTAAAAATATAGGTACATGGTACATCGTCTCCTTCTGGCAGCCCTTGGCAGACGAGAAGTAGATGACAGAGATCACTATGGAAACAAGAGACTAGACTTAGCTGGCCCTCTACTGGCTTTCTTATTCAGAGGGTAAAATTTAAGTCGATTAGATACTTATACATACTGAAGATTTCTTTAGTAGGTTTGCACATCTAATTAGAATTTTAAGTTAATTAGGTTGTTTCTTAATGATCTCCTTAACTAAGACAGCTGTATCTGTTAGTCTGGTAAAGTATTAGCCACATCATACCCCTAGAGAGAACTCCTCTTTACCTCAATCAGTTGAGCATCAGGCTAGTGAGCCAGGACTCATGGGTTCAAATCCTAGTGGAGGTATTGCTATAAATTCTGAGTACTTTTTTTTTTTTTTAGTCATATGTCTGTTGTTGAAGAAGTTAAATATGTACAAGAAATAACACTTTCATTGTGCTATCACATTGTACTTCCTAATCCCATGAAGCATTGTGAGATATAGTATAATCTATTTACAGTGACAAATGCATGTGTCTGTATAAGTCACGTATTCATGGTCTCTGAATAGGTTTGTTAGCTTTAAATTGATTTCAATGAAAAGTTTAATTATTTTCAGTTATTTCTGAAAACTTCATTGATAATGAAAATAACTAATATCTCTTTCATTTGTTTCAATTACAGTATGTTCAGAAATCTGATGAAGGAAGTAAGAATGTATTCACAGAAGTTCATTGACAGAGGGAAAGATTTCAATCTGGAGCTGGCAATCAAGACGCGAATCATTACTGATGGACTTAAATATTCTTTGGCTACAGGAAATTGGGGTGATCAAAAGAAGGCTCATCAAGCAAGGGCTGGTGTGTCTCAGGTAATTTGACTTAGTGGGTTAGTGTGTCTCAGGTAATTTGAGGTAGTGGCTAGTGTATTTAAGGTAATCAGACTTGATGGGTTTGTGTGTCTCTGTTAATTAGGACAAGTGTCATGTGTTCCAGATTAGTTGGCTAGTGTGTCTGGGGTAATTTGACAAGTGTTATATGTACCTGTTAAGTGGAGTAAGTCAGTCAGGGTAATGTACTGAGTTAATATGCCCCCAGTTAGTGAGTCATTGTCTCCCTACTTCTATATTTATCCTTAAATATGTATATGATAACCATTAATATTGAAAATGATATTGCTGGAATTATGACTTGACCTCATTTTAAAGAAAGGTTATTACATAAGGTAAGGTATAACAGAATTGGCCAATTATGTTTTCAGGTGTTAAATAGACTGACATTTGTGTCCACTTTGTCTCATTTGCGGAGATTGAATTCTCCAATCGGAAGAGACGGTAAATTGGCTCGTCCTCGACAGCTGCACAACACACAGTGGGGGATGGTGTGTCCTGCTGAAACTCCTGAGGTAAGACAGAACAATGCAAAATGAAAAACAAAATTTTACATGATCACAAAGAAATCGTGTAAGCAATTTGTTTTGTGCTTTACCAAAGCTGTTAAGTTTCTTCTATTAATAATAATTGATAATCTTTATTTTCCAAGGATAAATACATGTTAAGCCAAAAGCTTATCTAGCACACGTTCCTCAGATTCTAGACAGAATCTCCTCACCAGAAGCTGTTGAGATTGGTTAGGTATCATCTTTGCTGACATTCTTGTGGCTGGGTGTATAGGATGGTAGTTCATTTAGGAAGATCTATTAACATTTTTTGTTTTTGTTTCAATGTTTTCTTGTTATCATTCCACATCCAAGTAGATTAATATATATAAAATATTGCAACTCCATTTTAAGATTTATTTTTGAGTTAAGTTTTAGTGAGATTGATATTGTAATTGGACAGGGAGGAGCTGTAGGCCTGGTGAAGAACCTCGCTCTAATGGCTTACATTTCTGTTGGCTCTCAACCATCACCAATCCTTGAGTTCTTGGAGGAGTGGAGTATGGAAAACTTGGAGGAGGTTGCCCCGTCATCTATACAGGAGTAAGCGAGATGCCATATAAATGTGATCTGTCTTGTAATATTTCCAGTAAATTCTGACCTAAAATTTGTCCAGTTGAATGTTTCGATACTGTTAAATTTGGCCTAAAAAAGGCATGTATTTAAGATGTAACAACAAATCTTAGCTAAGCAAAGTTATGATTTTACTAACCATTAGGAATGTTTTGTAATGATACAGTCACTATTGCAGCAAAGTTTCAGATACATAGTAACTCTAATGTCATAGGCTGAATTGACATTAGAAAACAGATTTTATAAAAGTTAATGAAGAAGATGTGTTCAAAGGTGAACTCTTTATGGCATACAACATAACTTAAACACACAAAAGATTTTCTTTATTTATCTGATGTATATTGCAATGATTCGTTTGTCAATTTCAGTGCTACAAAAATTTTTGTGAATGGTTGTTGGGTAGGAATACACAGGGATGCAGAACATCTGATGAACACTCTGAGAAAACTCCGCAGAGAGATGGACATCATTGTTTCTGAGGTAAGGTTGTCGAGGAGATAGTTATTGAGGATGGATATAGAACCGCTTCATGTGCTATGAGAAATAGTAAATTAATTACGTTAGGATAATACATCAGTGCTGATCGACCAAATATTGTTTTGATTATATTCCCTATTATAGCTTCAGTTTTAGGGAGCTTGCTAGTCATTGGAGGAATGGTGTCGGAGCTGATTCACAAGAGATTTAGTTTGTTTCATCAGAATGTTACTATTATTGCCTTTTTAGCGATCAGTCAACACATAAAATGCCATTAGGGCCTCGGAATATTACATTTCGAGATAGGAAGTGTCAGTCAAAAAATAACTTCTTAACAATTGTTTGAGCAGCAGAGTTTATATTGATTATATATTACTAACCACAATCATCTTAAGTGATACCAACAGAAAAAAGGATGACATCACATGCTTTGTTTCATAACAATATCATTCAGTACTCACTTGCTTGATGTAATCTCTTAACAAAAAAAATCACTACCTACATTTTAAACTAGGACAAAATATCAGCAGCAGCAAGAGAACTCCAGAAATGTTAAAACTTTTACCACCTGTTAAATGTATGTAATTTGAACAAAACCATAACATGTATTGTTCTACAGATCATAGGAGGTTGCTATATCTGGCTGCACTGAAGGACACATTATGATCTGAGCATACTATAAAAGTTTGTGACCAGTATTGTAGAAATTTATTTATGATGGTTTGCCTATCATTACAGGTGTCGATGATCAGAGATATTCGTGACAGAGAAATCAGAATTTATACTGATGCTGGAAGGATCTGTCGGCCGTTGTTAATTGTTGACAACCAAAAACTTTTGTTGAAACAGAGTCATATCAAACAGCTGAAACAGAAGGAATACAACAGCTACAGGTAAGATTTCAGAAAATTAAAGGTGAAAATTTTGATGATTAAAAAAGCAGCATCTACATCTACAACTGTTCTACAGTACTTATGTAACCCTTTATATGTGACAGTTGGCAGGATTTGGTTGCGAGTGGAGTCGTAGAGTACATTGACCCCCTAGAAGAAGAGTCCATTATGCTGGCCATGACCCCTGATGACCTCTCCGAGGACAAGGATGTCCAGTACTGTTCTACGTATACACATTGTGAGATTCATCCAGCCATGATACTTGGTGTATGTGCCTCTATCATCCCATTCCCAGATCACAACCAGGTAGAGTATCTTATTGATTTATTGCAATTCTTATTAGAACCAAAGGAAAGAAAAGGTGACTTAAAAAGATGAAATCGTAATATTTAAATCAATTAATTATTTTGTGGGTGATTACTTACAATCTAATTGGAATGGCAATCAGTTAGACCATAATGGTTTTGTTGAGTTCATCATGAGAAATTCATTTTCATGCTTTTACAAATGCTAGTAAGACATTGAACTTGCAATTTAAACTGACCAATTTTGGTTTAACAAATAGAAAAATAAGTAATTTTTGTTCTTTATTGACAGTCCCCACGTAACACATACCAGTCCGCTATGGGTAAGCAAGCTATGGGTGTCTATATTACCAACTTCCATGTCCGTATGGACACCCTTGCCCATGGACTCCTGTACCCTCAGAAACCTCTAGTCACCACACGTTCCATGGAGTATCTCCGCTTCAGAGAACTTCCTGCAGGTAACTTTTCACTCAAGACTCAGAGTTCTGATATTATAATCATACTGTTGTTTCTGGGGTCTTTCCATAGGCTATGTTTCTGATGACAAGTCATTTCTGCCAGGAATGATAACAAGGAATCCAAATCAGGGCATTATTAAGTTGTGTGACTTGATTTGTTTCTGGTGGATTATATAAGATTTGCATTACAAGGATGTACGGTAAAGCTTTTGTCGAACACACTTAAATTGAATACATCGGATAAGTCAAATATTTCATTTGGTCTCTTTGACTTCCTTCAACTTATCCATGTTTTACTGTACATATTGATCAGTTTGTGTTAAAATTGTTTGCATATTTAAATGTCATACAAACTAGACACACACAACATATGAAAAATTTAATCATTTAGCATGAATCAGAACTGCTTTAAAAAGTTAGACAGATCAGGTAGTGATTAATTAACTAAATACAAGAAAATACCAACAGTAGTTACAACATAGGATGTGTAGAATAGGATAAGGAGACAGCTTTACAGGGATCCAAACCTTGTCCATCATCCCTTTAATTGTGATATACGCTTGTAAATATTTTTTTACAGGTATCAATACTGTTGTTGCCATTGCGACATACACAGGATATAACCAGGAAGATTCTGTCATTCTAAATGCTTCTGCTATTGAACGGGGCTTTTTCAGGTAACAACATCTTGTTTACGTAAAAAATGGTTGAAAATATCAGCAGAGTGAATGTTCATGTAAAATAACATTTTCAAGTTGTTAGTGCTATGTATGTTGTGATTGGATGGCATTATGTATTAATCTAACATATATCATATAAAATTGTTGAGGACTGAAACAAGATTTATCTCCCCTCGCTCAGTATTTATGACACAATTTGCGAGCTAACACTGTTCATGGTTTACCAGATGGTGCCAGTCTGTGTCTGATCTAATATAACTGTTACAAATGGGTAAACATGTTGTTCAGTTATGTCAAGGTATGGATTATAATTGAGTTAAAACATTTGATTGTTTTTAACGATGTTTTATAGAAACCAATACAATTAATTACCAATACTTTTAGGTGTGATTTATAGATGTGAGCCTCATATTTAAGGGTTTGAATTTTGGCAGACTCATTGCATTATTTTTCAACATAATCCCCTTCAGTACAGACTTTATTGACTATTTCTGGTGTTTCAACCTTCCAGAAGGGGGTGTCATCCCCAAGGCTCCGACTGCCACATTTAAATTCTGCCATCCAACCTCTCACTGTAGCATAGGAAGGAGCATTATTCCTCAGTGACGCTACCACATCAGTATGGATATGCTTAGGTGCTAGACCTTTCCTATGGGAATATTGAATTGCTGCTTTTTATGCGATTTTGTCCATTTTGCAAAAGTCACTTGTCGTTTTTACTTTTAGAGTGCTACCTCTTCGACATAAACTGACCAAATGACACTAGTCTTCTGGTTAAAAGTCTTCAATAGTCTGGGAATAGTAGAGCTGAAAATGAACATCTCTTCTTAAGTTCTTCAATACAAGGCTCACAATTTATTGATCAGCCCTCGTGTAATCACAAAATCTTCTCTCATCAGTTTGAATTGGATAAGTTCCTAGAAAACATGTCTTTGATCTTTGTTGTACAACCCCTTAAACTTCTACACAGATGTGTATGAAGATTTGAATAGGTAAGTTGAAAGTTTGAGTTCCTGACAGATAAAATCATCCTTTAAAAGTGTGTTTTCTTCATTTCCTACAGATCTTTCTTCTTTCGGTCTTACAAAGACGCTGAAGCAAAGAAAGGATTGGATCAAGAAGAGTTGTTTGAAAAGCCAGACAGAGAAAATGTTCAAGGTACAATTATTATATAGTACTAATGTGTTACTTTTTTGGAACGTATTAAAGGCTTTATTGTAACGAAGATGTATTTGATATTTTGATTGGAGAGTTCTTTAACTGTTTTTGGTATGAAATAGATATGTTTTGTTCTTTCTCACGATACATTTTATTTTTAAGGTCTTCGGTAATGAACTTGTAAAAATAGTTTTCATGTTGGACTCTTCAGTGTCTGTATCATTTATTACACCTGTGAATGTTATGTAACAGGCATGAGGCCGGCCATCTACGACAAGTTAGACGATGATGGTATTATATCTCCTGGACTTAGAGTATCTGGAGACGACGTACTGATTGGCAAGACAATGACCTTACCTCCCAATGATGACGAGGTACGATGCATTGATTTGTTAGACTTATATTCAAGTTATGAAATATTCAGGTTTTGATTGATATTTTATTATAGCTTCAAACATTGGAAGGAATAGACTGATTAGATAAAAGTGAAAATCTCTTCAAATATTGTAAGGAATGACCTCATTAGATAAAAATGAAAGTCGCCAAATAGAAATCATTTTAACAATACATTGTTTCTGCAGTATTTAATGAAAATTTTATGTAGAGCCTTTCGTTCGATTTTTTTTGTTTTGTTTTTGTGATGCTTAAATATGTTGTGGTGTTGCTTGAAGTAAATAGGATGTATTTTTCATGAAAAGTCGGAAATCAGACTAGGAATTTCTGTATATTGATCTTATTTCAAAGGTACTTAAAAATCACAAATATTAGTGGGTAGTTATTTTTGTTTGATTTCTGGTTATGTACCTCTTTGTATTGTAGCTTGATGCCACTGCAAGGAGATATTCCAAGCGCGATGCTAGTGTGTTCATGAGAAGAAGTGAAACTGGAATTATTGATCAGGTATTCTTTCTTACTGTTTTATGTACAGGATTAAAGTTTTGTCAGAAGTGTAGTCTGGCACAAAATGGTCAAGATGAATGTATAAATGTTAAAAATGACATTTGACAAGAAAAATGGTGCGTTTTTCAGTGAACAATTATAGTCTGAAAGTTTCAAAATATTTTGAATAGTCACATTTTGAATATAAAAGGAAAAAGATATAAAAAAAAATGGCAATGCACTTGAGTAGAAGTGCAGAAGTGCAGTGAGTCGTAATAATGGCAGATCTTTACTTTTTATCAAAAGTTTACATTCTCTGTTCAACATACTGTGTGTGATCCACCTACAAAAATAAAGTTACGAAAATAAAATTCAGAATTATTTGGAACACTTTTCATCATATAAGCTTTTATCGGCATCAAGAAGAAGGTATATTCAGAGTTCTTTATTGGTAGTCTTGTTGTTATGTTACTTGACACTGCTTGTTACACATCTCGACACCAGTGATGTTTCTAACTTCAGGTGATGGTCACTATAAACCAGGAAGGCTACAAGTTCTGTAAGATTCGTGTACGAACAGTAAAGACCCCTCAGATTGGAGACAAGTTTGCCAGTCGTCATGGTCAGAAAGGAACCTGTGGAATCACATATCGACAGGAGGTAAAAAGTCTTTCTGTGCCTAAGCTGTGATATTACTGTAGAATTGATCTCCTATATTGCTTCAAGGTAATCTAAATACACATTAAATGTTAAAGTCTTATGCACCAAATGTAATGAAGTATCAGGAAAAAACTGTCAGTGTGTAAATACCAAGTTCTTGTAGACATCATGGTATTCAGTTACGTAGCATAGTAGACTATGTACACATCTTTATAGTGAACAATTCATGTATAATAATAGAAATACAGTGTTTTGGCTATCCTTGTTTATATTTCATTTATAAGAACATACACTGAACCAAAATCACAAATAAACTGAAAGGACTGCAGCAATCATGGAATAAAAGGTTCTTGTTTATTTTATCAGGACATGCCATTCACTTGTGAGGGAATCACTCCAGATATTATTATCAACCCCCACGCCATTCCCAGTAGAATGACCATTGGCCATTTGTTCGAGTGCCTGCAGAGTAAAGTTGCGGCCAACAAAGGAGAGATCGGTGATGCCACACCTTTCAACGATGCTGTCAATGTACAGAAAGTATCAAACTTATTACACCAGTATGGTTATCATCAGCGAGGAAATGAGGTAGGTGTAGAACAGACCTGTTGAGAAAAAACCGGAAAAACTGTGACAGGTTTTCTATGTATTAAAACGAATTTTAGAAAAATATATGACATTAGCTATTCAAATTAATAATGTCAGTTATCAGAGGCTTTAAACGTGAAATAAAACATTTATGAATATAGAAATACCTTTAAATTAATCATTGCCACAGATTCTATACAATGGCTTCACTGGAAGGAAGCTGAATGCCCAGGTGTTCCTAGGCCCAACCTACTACCAGCGTCTGAAGCATATGGTGGATGACAAGATCCATTCTCGGGCGCGAGGTCCTCTTCAAATCCTCAACAGACAACCTATGGAGGGAAGAGCCAGGTAAGAGATTAATGGAGTCTTACAAATGTTTTCAATAGTTATTTATTTTGCAGTAAGGGCTGTTCCACTAAAGCATCCATCCCAATCCAAGACTCCAGGCTATATTAAGGGGAAGGGCATTCATTACAAGTAAAACATATATCCCAGCCCAGGTCGACTCAATGTTTTGTTCTTGGGTAAGGGCTGTTCCAGTATAACATCTATCCCAAACCACAAATTTTCTTAAGGAGTACCACCCAAAGAATTTTTGATAAAAGTGATTTAGTTTGGAGACTTGGGGTCAAGTAGATGTTTTGCTGAAATAGTCTTGAAGATGGACCACAGTTATGCAATACTTTAGGGGAGGAAGATAAAAAATGTGATCTAAGGCAGAAGGTGGGCTTACCGCACGACAACAAAATAGTGGTTAGGCTTATTGAAAGTTTGATAAGCAGAAAAGCATAAAGAGATCGAGGATCCAGAAGGAGTTTCTGTTTTATGAAACAAGTCTGAGAATTTTTTTTAAGGACTGATGAGGTAAAATGGAATATTTTATTTAGTTTCATAGATCTTGTATGAAATGGAAAGGAATTAAGATTTTGTTTATTATATACTTTTATATTTTTGCAAGCATTCAAGAAAATAGTATTTTATTGGATGAATACAAAATCTAAACTGGTGATATTTCCTCTCTCTTTGTTTGGAGATGTCCATAACACGTCATGAAATTATGACATCACGATTAAAACTGTGGGAATCTAAACCTTTCACAGCTAGGTGTAATTACATGTGTTGTCCTAACAAGATTTATGTAATGGGCATTATTACACTGATAACAGGGTAGTTGTGTACTGAGTGTTATTACAATGATAGAAAAGTAGACAAGTGATGTGTGTTATTATATTGATAACTGGGCAGTAAAGTGATGGGTGTTATTACACTGATAGGGTAGTTATGTGATGGATGTTATTATACTTATAACAGGGTAGCTATATGATGGATGTTATTACACTGAAATAGGATTATGTAATAATTTTAGCTCTTAATTCTATAGAATAATTCAACTCATTGTAATTCAGGTTGGTAATGTACATAGAAGTACTTATGTCATGGCCATATAGAAACTTATGTGTGTCCTTCGTGCAAATACACTACAAATTGAATGTACCAGTGAAGTCATTGAAATGTCACATATAAATTTTCTAATCAATTGTAATATACAAACTTCTATTCAACATGTGTTGTATCTGGTATTTCCCTCAGGGATGGTGGTTTACGTTTTGGAGAGATGGAACGTGATTGTCAGATTGCCCATGGAGCAGCTCAATTTCTGCGTGAACGGCTGTTTGAAGCGTCGGATCCCTACAGAGTACATTTATGTAACTTCTGTGGTCTTATCGCCATAGCTAATCTACGCAACCAGACATTTGAATGCCGGGGATGTAAGAACAAAACACAGGTAAGAAACATGTAGTTAAGAACAGTCACATATGTTTAAGTAAATAATAATATTATCGTGAATTTTGCTTCCAATTAGTGTTATTGTAACCATATTTACTGAACCACTTAAATTCTTTAAATGAGCTGTTAAACATTTTTTATCATTTTGACTTTGAAATATGAATTTTTTTCCCAGAGAGAAATTCAGATCACAGAACATTTTATAGAATGTCTTTTCTTCTGGCTGATTATTGATATTTTGTGTAAGCCTTACTTACATTGTACTGTGTGTCATGATTTATCATTGTCTAAGGTATATAGTAAAGCTACTTCTGCAGAGAAAGTTAATGATTGGTCTATGGCAAAGCATATTTCTACAGAGAAAGTTAATGATTGGTCTATGGTAAAGCATATTTCTATAGAGAAAGTTAATGATTGGTCTATGGTAAAGCATACTTCTACAGAGAAAGTTAATGATTGGTCTATGGTAAAGCATATTTCTACAGAGAAAGTTAATGATTGGTCTATGGTAAAGCATACTTCTACAGAGAAAGTTAATGATTGGTCTATGGTAAAGCATACTTCTACAGAGAAAGTTAATGATTGGTCTATGGTAAAGCATACTTCTACAGAGAATGTTAATGATTGGTCTATGGTAAAGCATACTTCTACAGAGAATGTTAACGATTGGTCTATGGTAAAGCATACTTCTACAGAGAAAGTTAACGATTGGTCTATGGTAAAGCATACTTCTACAGAGAAAGTCAATGATTGGTCTATGGTAAAGCATACTTCTACAGAGAAAGTTAATGATTGCTCTATGGTAAAGCTACTTCTACAGAGAATGTTAGAGAAAGTTAACGATTGGTCTATGGTAAAGCATACTTCTACAGAGAAAGTTAACGATTGGTCTATGGTAAAGCATACTTCTACAGAGAAAGTTCATGATTGGTCTATGGTAAAGCATACTTCTACAGAAAATTTTAATGATTGGTCTATGGTAAAGCATACTTCTACAGAGAATGTTAATGATTGGTCTATGGTAAAGCATACTTCTACAGAGAAAGTTAACGATTGCTCTATGGCAAAGCTACTTCTACAGGGAAAGTTAATGATTGCTCTATGGTAAAGCTACTTCTACAGAGAAAAATAAATAAATGTAAATACTATTCTTCTTAGCTGTTATAAGAGTAAGTCCATGGTGTCATAAAATGTTACATCCGCTTCTTTTGAATGTATCTCCAGATATAGTTTGCTGAACGAAACATTAATTATATCAATTGAAAGTTCCTCAAACAAGGATATATACTATCAAAACATTTTGTGATATAATGAAATATTTAAATTGCGATTTCTGATGCAAGTCTCATGTGGCATGGACATCACACAATTATAGGCGTCCATAGTCAAGAGGAAGTCTTATCACAACAAAAAACAATGTTAACATTGAATGTTTTGTTAATGTTATGAGACAAGGTGAATGGATTAAGATTGAAAAGATTTATGAAATGTTTTTACTTTTCAGAAATGTACCTTAATTTACATTTACAACATTTTTAAAACATTAGCACCTGGATGTAACATATCGTTTCAGAAATGTTACCTGCAAATATTTACTAAAAATGATGTTTACTTGTGAATTATTTCCACCTCGTGGTTGTGTATATTCTCACGGAAGTTGTTGGTGTCTGGATAAAAGCAAATGTAGTGAGAAACCTCTGAACATCTTTTAAAGAATTCATATGATTTAGGGCTGGTGTAAATCATGTTATAATGTTATGTCCCAGACTTTGAATCTACAGCAATTTATCTCTCATTACAAGTACGCTGGTATATATGTTTTACTACATCATGTTAAAAACACACGTCACAGATCAGTTTCCGGCTGTTTAACGGGCGTCTGCACTACCACGATGTAAAAGGTGATCTATATATTTGAGGGGTGGTGAAGTCCAATGTAAGGCCCATGACATAAGATAACTATGTAGGCCAACCATTGAAAATGTTGTTTGAAATGCCAGGATTTATCTGGAACAAATCTGATTTTAAAAGTCATTGAATATTTGATATTTTTTCCCGACGAAATATTGTGCTGTAATATAACCAATTTTAGCCGAGGTTTGCTATATTGTTTGATGCAGTTTAAAATCCATTGTTATGTCTTGATGAATTGCTCTCAAATCTAACCGATATGTTTTATTCTTAGCCTCATACAACACAAGGAAACCAAATATACAGGAAAGACATTTTTACATTTAACAAATGGCGGATAAGGAGCATATGGCGTCTTATAAAGCCAGTTGTTCCTTGCATGGCAATAATTATTGAAATAGAAAGTAATTTTTCATGAATTTGACAATAAAATGTATTTAGAAGGAAATATATTGCTGAATGAATAGCCTTTGGTGTCCTGTTACCTCCAGACACTCTACAAAACAGCTGTATTTTCTCCATCATTTAAAGCACAACTTCCTCCTCCTTTATTGGTCAGGATGCAACATGGTTTTATGTGAAATCTATCAGATTTTGGTGTTTTACCTTGTTTCAAATTTTCATAAATGTTTGTCTGGGACGAATATATTACAAATTGAAAAGTAAACGGAAAATTTGTGAAGTTATTACTAAATAGCCATCAAGAACAATAGAATTGATTGGTGATTACAAAGGTACTTTTTAATTTGACAATTTTCGAAATAACACTGGACCTGCATTAATAACTCTTATCATATATAATTTCACACCTCATAAAGTGGGGAATAGTGGTGTCTCGGGCATCAAAAGTTTACCTGTATACAGATATATACGTGACAGGTCCGGATTCATACTGACTTGGTCGCCCGTGTAACAAACACAACACTTAAGATTTACTTGAGCATATATTTTTTGTTAACAAAATGAATGAAAATGAGAGTAATATGGAGGTAATAAAAAAGAATACTTCCTTTCTGACGATATGAGATTTCAAATGAATCATTGCTGTGACATAACGAGACCTCCCTTAAATGTTTACATAATAATGTATATCATGTGTGTCCTTACACTAAGGCTGATCACGTGTGGATCTTTATGAACAAAACACTTAAAATGAACAAGTGTCCTACCTACATATTAATGGCTCAATAAGGAAATTTACTTACTTGTATTCTTATATATTTAGAAAATAGATAAACCCTATTCCACGCTTATTTATAAGTAATTTCTAAATTTATATTAACCATGATAGAATTGCACAATGTGCGATAGCTTAATTCCTCCACTTATATCATGCATACATTGTGCAGACATCATGCACACATTGCACATTGTGTAATGTTGTGTGATCCCACAACTGTAATATGAATGACCTTGATCCACTTTCAATGTCACAGGGTCAAATGTTTAAACAACTTCTTCTCAATAACCAAAAGACTTAGGGTACTGATATTAGGCCTGTAGCATGCTTTGATGAAGAGCTACCAAGTTTGTTCATCTTGACCTACTGTCAAGATCATAGAGGTCAAATGTTTTGAAATGCATGAGCAGCTTCTACTCAAAAGGACAAGGATCTTGATATTGGATCTGTAGCATGCTTTTTCAACAAGAAATATGTCCAGAGTAATGGCATTTGTGTAGTGCATATATAAAGAATATGATTTCATTGTGGTGTATGTATAAAGAATATTATTTCAAGTTAGCAGAAAATGTCTTAATGAATTAACCAGTATCTTCTATGTAAGCAGTAGCATAGTTGAGTAATTTATTTTAGGCTTATTTGGCTTCTTTCATGTATAGGTCTTTAAAGTCAGATTACCCTTAAGGCCCGTGGGTCTCTTGTTAGTTCTCAATTTCTGTAATGAGAATTGGATACAGACCAGAGGCTATAAGATACTATTCTCATTTTATCTTTTTAATGGCACTAGGCTGTATAACTGAGCTTTAAGTCTTAGCTTCTCCAAATAAATCAGGTTAATTTTAGCTTGATGATGTCAACTGTTCCAGAAGCAGACTTAGCTGCTCTGAGGATAATTGTCCGTGGCTTGTAATTTCTATTTGTAGAAGTGATAGTTATCTTTAATGACAAATCACATTTTCAAGTGATAGGTGACAAGCTTGGAAATGTATTACATTGTATAAGATGGTGGCTCTACTGAACACAGGTTGTGACATTAAATTTGTTTTCTAATGATTCAACATAAATATACAGGACCCACACAACTAATCACATCCTGCCCAATTAAGGTAATGGGTTATTTGATTGGTAATTGATTTCCATGCTGGATTCAGGAATGTTTTAGTTATAAAGCAGTATTGTCACAAATAGAGTATTAGATTTAATTGACAAGTTTCAAGACTTAATTAACATGTAATGGGACATTTGATATAAAGCTAATTAAAAGTGTGTCTTTTTATACAAGATTATAATATAAATATAGAATTGTTTTCCTTATAGTAAAGCATAAAATAATCCTGTTCATGCAATCAGATTTTCAGTCTTGTATTGATTAATGTAGTGAGATGTCCCATTAATGATAAAATTGTTATTTTTTCCAACTTGACTGCTTCATAATTTTGATACATCTGTAACATTCAACAAACAGTGGAAGTTTGTGATGATTTATCATCTAATATAATAATATATTGTTTTATAATTGTTTTATTTGTCAAGGATGCATTTCTTGCCTGGAAACAATTAAATCTCTTAAAGAATCGTTTCATTGTTACCTTATTATCTTGGCTGTGCAGAATAGTTTTTGCTCTAAAGTGACATGAATTTTCAAGAAAATTTTAGTGGAAGTATTCTTCAAAGCATATTATGAAACATTTTGGGAGTTGGATTTATGCAATCAGTTGCAGGATTAAATCATCCCTTATTTCATGCAATAAAATTGTCTTTTAGTCAACAGAATTATGTCGTATACAATATGAGATTGTCTTTTGGTCAAAAGAATTATGTTGGATACTATGTAAAATTGTCTTTTAGTCAACAGAATTGTGTCTGAATCAATATAAGATTGTCTTTTAATCAACATAATTATGTTGGATACTATGTAAAATTGTCTTTTAGTCAACAGAATAATGTCCTATACAATATAAGATTGTCTTTTAGTCAAAAGAATTGTTGCGGATACAATTTTATTAGAGGTGAAACAGTATAACATTGTGTAGTTGAACCATGATATTTTTCTTCCAGTTCAGTTTACAATATAGTAACTCCAAACTATTTACCTGCACAGTGGTTGTAACTTTTATGTGTTGGCTATTCCTAATGCTAGTTAAAAGACAGTTTCTGATTGGTCGGGTAGTTTTAATGAGATCTAATTGCAAGCAGCCTAACATTTCACCATTTCAAATAATTTTGAAGGATTCACCTGCTTCCAAATATTCTGCTATGAAAAACACTCTGGTTTCAGAGCAAAGGATTTGACAGCAAATACTTGCAGAATATTATTACAGATATCTCTTATAGATATGAAAGCAGATAATTTAAACACATTTGATTAGAAAGCACAGTATCGGCACTTGCCAATAGGTGATGAAAAGTCCATTTCCATTTCATACATACTGCTGCATTGAAATATTCAATACCTGAAACCTAAATTAAAATGTTTACTAAGTAGCACTAGTCAGCATTAGATTTTATGTTCATGTTAAAGTTCCGATCTGGAAAAATGAAGCTGTGAACGATATGTACCATACTGTATACCTAAATAATACATACCTTTTTCACAAACATCGGTACTATTAGTTGCTGTTGTAAAGTTACTTTGTTATATTCTCAAAAGTATTTCTTGCTTTTAACATGATATTGTCAGAAATACTGTTTCTGGCCTTGATATTCATCAAACTAACTGCAGACAATGAGAACCCAAAGCCACCCTTAATTTTCCTTTTTTGGTTTTGTTGTGTGATAATGTTCTTTTTTTTTCTCATCTGTGAAAATTGTTGCTTGTTTCAGATCTCCCAGATCCGCATGCCATATGCCTGTAAGCTGCTGTTCCAGGAGCTCATGTCTATGAGTATCGCTCCACGCATAATGGTTCTGGCATCATAGACGTGAAACAAATACAAATTATTGATGTCTAACTGTAATGATCCCAAAGACCTTTGGAGAAACTGCATACAAAGTTGTGTTGATACTTCGAACACTTTTACAGTATTTATTGACAGTTTGTAGACTGGTGCGACATATTCGTGTGGAAGTTCAAATATTACTGAGAGTAGCATCCTTTCATCATGTGGATAAAAGACAGCCATTCAATACAAGAACATAGGTGCAACATTCTGTGCAAGTACATGAGAGAGAATGTCAGTGTAACTTCATTGGATCATTGTGTATGAAAGAAACACTCCGTAAATTCATTTAGTCATTACGTGTGAAAGGATTTCATATTTTAAAAATGATCATGTTGGTATAATAATATGTAAAGAGATTGTTCTTAATTGTAAATATGTGTGAATGAACATCAGTTTTTTTCAAAGAAAAAATGCTTGATTTTCCTTGACTGGACAAAATACTTGCTCTCTTCTCTTCATCATGAAAGACCTATGTGAAATACCCATATAATGTTGTATATGTCTGTGTGAGATTCTCTTTATCTCACAAGTGACCATGACTAAATGAGGTCACGATCAGGTGAAAACATCATTCTATAATGATGATCAGGTGAAAACATTATTCTATAATGATGATCAGGTGTCAGGTGAAAACATCATTCTATAATGATGATCAGGTGTCAGGTGAAAACATCATTCTATAATGATGATCAGGTGAAAACATCATTCTATAATGATGTTCAGGTGTCAGGTGAAAACATCATTCTATAATGATGACCAGGTAAAGACATCATTCTATAATGATGATCAGGTGAAAACATCATTCTATAATGATGACCAGGTAAAGATGTCATTCTATAATGATGATCGGGTAAAGACATCATTCTATAATGATGATCAGGTAAAGATGTCATTCTATAATGATGATCAGGTAAAGACATCATTCTATAATGATGATCGGGTAAAGACGTCATTCTATAATGATGATCGGGTGTCAGGTGAAAACATCATTCTATAATGATGATCGGGTAAAGACGTCATTCTATAATGATGATCGGGTGTCAGGTGAAAACATCATTCTATAATGATGATCGGGTAAAGACGTCATTCTATAATGATGATCGGGTAAAGATGTCATTCTATAATGATGATCGGGTAAAGATGTCATTCTATAATGATGATCAGGTAAAGATGTCATTCTATAATGATGATCAGGTAAAGATGTCATTCTATAATGATGATCAGGTAAAGATGTCATTCTATAATGATGATCGGGTGTCAGGTGAAAACATCATTCTATAATGATGATCAGGTAAAGATGTCATTCTATAATGATGATCAGGTAAAGATGTCATTCTATAATGATGATCAGGTAAAGACATCATTCTATAATGATGATCGGGTAAAGACGTCATTCTATAATGATGATCGGGTGTCAGGTGAAAACATCATTCTATAATGATGATCGGGTAAAGACGCCATTCTATAATGATGATCGGGTGTCTGGTGAAAACATCACTCTATAATGATGATCGGGTAAAGACGTCATTCTATAATGATGATCGGGTGAAAACATTATTCTATAATGATGATCAGGTGTCAGGTGAAAACATCATTCTATAATGATGATCAGGTGTCAGGTGAAAACATCATTCTATAATGATGATCAGGTGAAAACATCATTCTATAATGATGTTCAGGTGTCAGGTGAAAACATCATTCTATAATTATGACCAGGTAAAGACATCATTCTATAATGATGATCAGGTGAAAACATCATTCTATAATGATGACCAGGTAAAGATGTCATTCTATAATGATGATCGGGTAAAGACATCATTCTATAATGATGATCAGGTAAAGATGTCATTCTATAATGATGATCAGGTAAAGACATCATTCTATAATGATGATCGGGTAAAGACGTCATTCTATAATGATGATCGGGTGTCAGGTGAAAACATCATTCTATAATGATGATCGGGTAAAGACGCCATTCTATAATGATGATCGGGTGTCTGGTGAAAACATCATTCTATAATGATGATCGGGTAAAGACGTCATTCTATAATGATGATCGGGTGTCAGGTGAAAACATCATTCTATAATGATGTCATAATCAGGTGATCATTCTTTGCTGATTTCATTATCAAAATTGTATATTACATTCAGTGTTTGGTTCTATTGACCTTGCTATCAGCTGTAGACACCACATTTTAGACACAGGCTATTCCTAATGGTCATTCCTGGTTCTTGAGAAATTTAGCAATATTTAATGTTGCATTTTTTAGCATCCTTTAGAAAAAAAATCTTACTAGCATGGAAAAGCCAGTATTTATATTTAATGGCTACTAAGATTCTTTACCCAGGTATAGGATTTAGTACCAGCAAATATTCTTTTCTGAAACCAATTCTATGACTTCAGATAGTGTAACTACATCCCTAATATCTATATGTGATTGACTCTTTTGTTATTTTGTAAATACCATTATCATGATTGACTACATGACCTATACTAAGTCTTGCTGTATTAGAGGATGTAAAGCCTTCAGATAACTTAGTAAAGATGCATTTTCATTTTTTCATTTTGAAATAATTAAGAGAGAAGGGCAGTGATGAAACTGGTAAAACCTTTTAGATAAGTGTCCAATGTCCCTTGTTGATGTCCTCACAGCAGTCCGGGACTACATGAGGACATGGGGTCGACTCGGGTCAAAGGACAAAATCAGTAAAAAGGTACTGATCAGGTTTCCTCACAGCAGTCAGGGTTGTTGTAAAAAAAAATGCAAGCTATTTGATTCACTTTCAGCAATAAACCATAATTAATAAAAAAAAAATTGTTTGTTTTTGCTGCAAATCTGTTAAGGATTTAATTAACTCCATAACACCTAGTCTTGTTCTCACCTGTATTATTTTGTTGTTTAAGTGTAGTTTTAGGTTGAGCTGGGTGTCATTCATTTTCAATATTGTATATGCGTTACATCACCAGGAAAGGAGCCTGAATGCCATCTGTTAAATAATCAATTTGACAATGTTTTCTTGCTTCCAATCGAACTTCCTAGAAGTTTAAAACAGGCATGTCATGTTTCAGCTTGAATGTTTTTACGCAAGGACAGATACTACCACCTTATTGATTCATTAATGATGCACGAAATGCTGTGTTAATATATATTCCATACAGCTGTATTTGAAAAAAAACAAGAGCAAGTACAGACCATGTGAGCCATTTCTATTGATAATCCGATGAGGCAAAACGTGATTTGATATTTTCAATTAACGGCACACAGAAATAATGAATGAAATTGAAATAAACATATATCTGTATAAAAAATAACACTCTGGGAAAAAATGGCAAGAAATAAGTTTCCTGATTATGCTATCACATGAAAACAGGTCACTTGAAAAATTTCATCGGTCCCGGAATTCGATGAATTTTCGGTACTTTAAGTACATATGCGTGGCCAAAAATGTGTTAACATTTCAGATGAATAGCTAAGTTTGTCAAATAATTTTCCAAAAACTTGAATTTATTGATTTTTTTTAATGAAAAATTATGATTTTTCCCCCAGTTAAACTTCCATAACTTTTTATGTCTGTAATACTTCGCTATATATTTTAGTTCAAAATATGCAGCAGACTTCCATGAGGAGGATTTGGCTCAATTTAATGATTGATTATGTTTTTGAACCAGTTTTGTGCTCACGCCCATCACATGGATCATAAAATAGGTCACAGTACATGCTATAGATGACTTTTGAATTTTTAGCCCACCATCATCAGATGTTACTGCTATATCTGAGGAAGTACTGGATGGATCCTTCTGATATTTCATAGATATTGGTTTCCCTTGGTCCCTAGTTGTGCATTGTACCTTTTTTGGACTGATTTGAAATCAAGGTGGCCCACAGGCAGCCACCTTGGATGTCAACAGTAATACAGCACAAGCATATTGTCCATTATCCACCTGTAACTGACTGCTATCTAATAATACTTTGGGATCTTTTTCAAATGATATTTGCTAATAGGTGCTTAATTAAATATCTTGTGCCATCATTGAGTGCATTCAATGAAGACCAGTTCATGAACATTTACAACTGCTGTAACAAACAATATTCGAATGAATTGAAATTCATGTGATTGTAAATGCCACTGGTCTCTTGTCATTAGACTTTGTACAGAGATGTATACGCCAGTTGTTTCCTTAGTCTGTTTTCTTGGCTTCCCTAACATTATTTCTAAATATAAGCTCAAGGACATACAGGCTATCTTCAGTTCAGGTAAAAGTCCTCATCACAGGTCAGTGTTGGAAGTGTATATAACTATATATATATCAAACAGAAATATTAGTGTGCTTGATTTATGGACCAATCAGCAACTGTTGTGTACCTAAGACTTCCCAACATATCACCCGAGGACATGACATAAATAAAAATAAAATCACTTCAGTATATAACTAAACATTTATTTTTTTCACGTATTACCCTTCTCCACTCTTCCCCGGATGTCATACCGACTTAAAGTTGAAATAAGAGGATACGTACGTATTTAATTATATCTATTTCCACTGGGGTACCAATAAATCTCGCCAGATTATGTTATGTTCACGATTCTACACTACCTCCTTAATTTTGCCCGTAGGTGGATTTTATCGAGGATCATGTTGTGTAGGTTTTGCTGACATTTCTAGGGACTAGAGCGTCTCGTTAAGCTTCCAATTAGCAACCAAATTTGCCCACCAAATAGCATCTTCCCATCGGTGACAGTTATTTTCAATGGCAATAACAAGATTTGCTGGATTTGTACAACACGGTACAACCTTTTTACAAATGCTTAGTTACCAAATTAGTTTATGTGCTAATTTGTTACAAGCCATTCTCGATGCCCCAGGGGTTATGATTACTTCCACTCTCTGCACCCCTGTGTTTGGTCAGTTTTTTCCCCTGAAACCGTTATAAACCAATCAAATTACTTCGCTTGTACTTTAAATTTTGCCATAAAATGTTCTAGGGTTGCAGAGAGCGAAAGAGATAGTAGCCGCTGGAGTATCGAGGATGGTTCCAACAAGATTCATGGGCATCATTTTGCCAATGTTCAGAAGGATGTTGTAAGAAATCAATTTTGAAATATCTGTGTCGAGATTTTATAGATTGAAGTTATAATACCACTAGTTTTCTGTTTTCACTTCTTACGATATCTGTAATTCGGTGTGTTCGTGTCAACAAGTGCTCACCAAAATTACACATTTTTAATTGGCTTGCTTCGTGTTTCCGACATCCCAAACTGTTTTCGAGAAAGATATTCCCATTGATCTTTTAAAACTACTGAAATTATTTACAGATTTGACTTTCAGCACTGTCTATACTAACATCTACACTACGCTGTACCTACATCTGTTATACGGTCATTTGATTGGTGATGATCAAATTCGGTGACGTAGCAGAACGCTTGTGTTATTATATTTACTGGACCGCATAGAGATCCTAGTCAGGATACAGAATAATGTTAACAAACGTAGACAGTTGTTCAAGTATCAGCCATTTTTACTATCATTAAAACACAACCATTTATATAACTGGGCGGACAAGGTAGTAAGGTTGTATAAAAACCGGCTAATGAACTTTGCACAGTTGCTTGTGTACATTCTGTCAAATTTGTCGTTTTGTAAGGGGACAATATAGTCTGTTGTTATTACCTGTTACCTCTTCATAGACACCACTTGTTAGCTCAGCTAATTGAGGCGCATTCTGTTGAGTCAACTCGTTGTCCGGTTGTGCCACATAAAAACTAGGATAAAAATTGAACGGTACTTGTTGCCATTGTTTGTTCAAAAGACTCTTAAAAGTGTTTAGCGTAGAGGCTTCTATTACGGTGGTTGGAAGAGAGTTTCAAAGATCCACTACCCGTCGACTAAAAGTCCCTTTAGTGACATTTGTCCTGCTATGCTTCTTGAAAAGTGTTTTACTATTACCTCTAGTAGAGGCTGTGGACATTGTAAATAGTTTTTCTTTGTCAAGTTTGTCAATGTTGTTTAAGATTTTATATACCTCAAGCATATCATTTCTTTTACGTCTGTACTCATTGGCTTCTGACCAATGTTCTATATCTTCCAGTAGGTTTGTGGTACACGACTTCCCTGACCTGAAGCCATGTTGGTGTTCAGAAAATGATTCATTTTTGTCCACGTGTTCTACAATTTTGTCTCGCACTATCCTCTGTAATGCCTGGAACTGATGTTTAACTGGTACGGCGATAGTTTTCAACTTTGTCGAGGTTTCCACTTTTAATTATCGGTGTTACATTGGCAACACGCCAGGATTTTGCCCTCGTCCAATGATTTCCTGAATAAGATTTCTAATGGTTTGGAAATTTCGTCAGCTATTTCAATGATGAATTTTGGATATTTGGGTATTTGTTTGGCTTTAGTTTCTTTATAGCTTTTAAAATTATGTTGTGATTGATTTCAATATCTGAAAGTTCAGGGTGGTACGGTCTGTGAGGAAAGTTTGGTGCTTCATCGGTGTCAGGAGGATTGAAGACTGTTCCAAAGTAGTTATTCAGTTCATTGGCGGTTTCCCGGATATTATTGGTTTTACTATCGTCAGCTTTTTCCACGTTGGTTACAGTTTTTTCTCGAACATATGTCCAGATGAGTTTACTGTTTTCTTTTATGTTATGAGCCAATTTCCTCTGATATGTGTAGTGGGAACGTCGGATTTGATGTGTAGCAGGATTTCTAGTTCTCTGGTAAGCTCAGAAATTACTTTCAATTTTGCAATGCAGATAACGAATCCACTTGCGCCTCTTGCGGCGAATCGACTGCTTGGCCTCTATATCAAGATGTGATTTCATCATCTACTGGTTTGGTTAAGGTTTCAACAAAGACACTCCAAGACTGGTTTAATGTCATGTCGCCATCTTGTAGAGCATTCTGGTAAGTAGTCCACTTCTTCAATCATTCCTTCCTCATTACTAAATACTAAGTCAAGGACTGTGGGATTCTGACCTTCCCTGTATCGTGTTGGACTGTATATATGTTGGTATAGAAAGGTGTCTCGGATACATTCCAGAAAAAAGCGTTGCCTTGTGTGTTTCAGAAACGCTTGTGGTCCATTCAGACTAATCAATTTCTGGAAAGTTGAAATCGCCAGTAATCAGGAGGTAACTGGCATTCCTATGAGATTTCCCTCAAAAGACTAACTAGTTGTTTAAAATTTTCTTGTGTGCTATTAAGACCTCGGTAGATGTTAGCCACAAGAAACTTATTTCCGTTATTTAGTCTTAGCTCTACAGACAGATGTTCATTAAATGTTGTGGCATATGTCACCTTTTCCACTGTTAGATGTTCGACAGTGTAAATAGCTACTCCACGTCCATTATCCTTTTTAATAAAACATTTAAAGCCTGGTATATTATAAAAGCTTACGTTCAGTGGTAATGATTTGTTCTTTGAGTGAATTTCAGCTAACAATATCGTGCGTGGGTATTTCTCTATCACAAGTGTTTTAAGTTCTTCTCACTTGTTTGTGGTCAGGACATCCACATTTGAATAAAAATGAGAAGGTTGCTAAGAGAATCACTGAGAAAAACTTATGTCCTATTCTGATTTAACTCCATCGGTCCCAGCAAAGAGTTGCAGGTTTGGGACACCGCTTAATATTATCTGATCGGGATCAAAATTGTCAAGCGTTTCCATATCATAGTACTGTGATTCTGAATGTGGTTCCTGTGTACGACATATCTAGACGCTCCAATAGGACTAAATAATGGGGTACTTGACAAGGCGGATGTTGTATTCCTTGTGTGTACAGAATTTGTTTCCTTTGTTGTTTAT